GCCCCCCCCCCCCCCCCCCCCCCCCGCCGACCCCTGTGGCCTGTACTCACGCCATTTTCTTGTCGGCATCAGCCAGGCACACGGTGCTGTCATGGCTGACCCAGGCCATACGGCTGCCACTGGCCGAAAAGCAGACGCCGTGCACCCAGCCACAGCTACTGCTAGACTCAAACATCAGCTCCCCGAAGGGCATCTTGGAGCCCCATGGGGTGGGTGCTGGCCGCTCCTCCACCTCCTTGATGTAGGCCGAGAAGATCCTGCCAGGAGAGACCAAGAGAAACAAACCGCAGTGGCTGAGGGGGTCTGGGAGGCGCCTGGCAGGGGACTTCTCTCCCAGACTGGCCTGGTGAGGCCAGAGTGCCCAGCCGGGGGCTTGTGGTTACAGAGCCGGCTTTTTGTGACCTGCATCTTCACACTTGGACGAGTCTGGGGCTTGAGGCCAGCACGGGGTCCCTGGACAGATCAGGTGCCCACAAACCAGCTTCCCCACCCACCAACAGCCTCAGCCGGACATTACCCCTCTCCATGTCCAGGGGCCGCCCCTGGAGCCTGCCGGAGCCTTGTTTCCTGGGCGGCGCTTCAGAGACCCAGGCCATCTGTCTGAAGCTGGGAGCCCCTGGCGTCAGGAAGCTCATGGGTGCCAGGCCCAGAAGTAGAAACAGCCAATGGGGACTGAGGACACTACCTTCCAGGCCCGAGATAATGAGGCAGGTTTGTCTAAGCTTCTCAGTCATTTATGCCTTAGTGTGAGAAGCATACCCACTCATTGTCCTTCAGGTGAAGACAAGGAAACTGAAGGAGAGGAGGACCTAGGAAAGCCCTTGCCGACATGAAGAGGTAGCAAGGGGTACATCCTGCCAAGATTCTCCACGGGCTGTAGACAGGACCCAATGGCGACCCCTCCAAAAGCAAAGCCTCCCAGATGCTGGACTGAGGCCCCAGGTCATCCTGCTGGTGGCAGAGCTGGTCTGGAAGGCAGGGCGTGGGGCTCCCTCCACCCTGGTTCCCCTGCTGATGTCAGGGGCCCCCCCGCTCACCTGCACTTGAAGTCACAGGAGCCTGCGGCCAGGAGCACGTTGTTGGGGTGCCAGTCCAGGCTGAGGACAGTGGAACGAATGGGCTTCTTGATGTGCTTGCACACCCACCTGGACACATGGGACAGGTAGAGGGGATGGGGACCAGCACTCTCAGCACCCAAGGCCTCAGTGTCCCAAGGCCTCTACCTTCCCATGGGGCCCTGCAGACCCCCCAGAGTCCCCAGAGGGAGAGGCCCGGGCACTCCTGGCCCACAGGCCTCTCAGGGCCTGGATCAGGCCAGTGGGGAGCAGGGTCCCCTCCAGCTGGGAACTCTATCCCCGGTGGCCTTTAAACCTCACGACAAGCCTGGGGTAGGCTGTCACACAGCAGCTAACTGGCCAGGGCGGAATTCGATCTCAGGTCCCCCAGACGCCAGCCTAGCCTCTGCCCTCAGGGACCCAGGAGAAAAAAGCAAGACAGGCTGGACATCTCCGACAAGTGACCTGACCTCAGGGCGACTTACTTTGCTCATCTGAAAAGTGGGGACAACGGACGCCCAGTCCAGAGGGCTGTCAGGGGGTCCATGTGAGTGTGTGCGCAGGGCTTTAGGCAATGCTCACAGAGGCGGTCCTGGGGTGATCTGTGCCCTTAGTTCCCAGACAGGGCTGTGGCAGTGCCCGGCACCTCACCTACAAGGTCCAGAGAGGACGTACTTCCCCAGGGTCTTGTGAACAGGGCTCCTGACACCCCGTCCAGTGCTCTCTGGGACACTAGTCCCACCACCTTTTGGTCTGCAGCCCCGGGGTCCATCCCAACCCACTCTGACCCTGACCCTGCCCAGGCACCCACCAGTCATTTTCCTGCTCAAAATAGCAGATGGAGATGACACGGGAGCCACTACCCACAGCGAACTTGTTCTCCTGGGGGGCCCAGCGCACACAGCGAGCAGCCCGGTTGATCCTCAGGATGACGAGGGTGGGTTTCCACGTGCGGCCCTTGAGCGTCCACACGTAGGCATTGCGGTCTGTGCCACAGGTCACGATTCGGTTACTCTCGGGGGCCCAATCGATGCCTGTGGGATGGGGACGAAACAGGCTGAAGCCATCCAAGCAGAAAGGCTCTCTGGCATCCATGTAGGGGAGGGGCTTGAGGCCACAATTTGGATGCAAGCTGCTCCAGGGGGTGCCACTTAGAACAAATACTGAGAGTGTTAACGTCTCTCCAAAATATTACCAAACGTGCTGGAAAGCCAAGAGACAGAAAAGAAATGGGTCCTTGGTAATGCCGAACTGAGCTGCTGGATCAAGCCTTCCCTGAAGCCCAAAACCTCTTCAGTTTTTCAGCAACATGAGCCAACATGAGTCAACATGATCCCTTTGTAACTTAAGCCAGTTTGAATTAGGGTTGTGTTACTTGCAACCCAAACTATCATACCTAACACAGTGGATTGGGTGGCCCTGCGCCATCCCATCTCCTTTCCAGAGAGTGATCCCAGTCAGCCTGACGTACCTGTCACCTGCCCATTGTGCTCCTTGAGCTCATGCACCTTGACCCACTTGGTCCCGCTCTTCTCATAGATGTGCACCTCGTGGTTGTTGGGGCAGATGGCAATCTCTGCAGGAGAGAAGGCTGGGGGTAGGGAGTGGGAGGAGGTGTGCGTGCCCAGGCTCCCCCTTCCCTCAAGACCCCTCTCCCAGGAGCACCCTTCACCCCTCTGCCTTGGCGTGGGGCTCCCTGAAGCACCTTGCAACCCCTCCCCTGCGACTAGCCATCCTTCACCTGCACCCGTAGGCACCCCCACAGCAGTCTTCTGCCCTCTGCTCCCAACTCCGGCCCTGGGCTCCTTGCTGCTCCAGACAGTGCCACGATCTCCTGCCGCTGGACCTTGGCATGGCCGGCTCCCTCACCTCCTCCAAAGCACCTCCCTGGCCACCTTTTCCAAACCATCCCCTCTGCCTCCAGTGCTTTCCCTCCTCCTGCGTGTTTCCCTCCCCAGCGGCACCTGCAGCAGGGCCCCCTGGCTGGCTGCCCCGCGTGTGCCCAGAGCTCGTCCATCCCCTCTTCCACACTGGCGACCGGAGGTGGAGGAGGAGGACAGCCAGCCCTCAGAGCCCACGGTCCAGGGCGCCTGGCCGGTTTACCGCCTGTACGTACTCCAGGGGCTCCCGCATCCCCCCTGCCATCCTGTGGCAGCGGCACTCACGGGTGCGGTCCTTGTTCCAGGCGTGGCAGCTGATGGGTTCCACCAGGAAGCTGTGGTAGGCCATGGCCGCTCAATTCCTGTGCTGGAGAGGGGAAGGGACCTCCAGTCAGCCCCGCCTCTGATCCCAGAAGAGGCCCCAGCCGACCTCGTGGGAGGGCAGCAGGGGCCAGCCTGGCCTCCCCGTGAGTGGGGTGTGCTGAGCCTGTGTCGCTCATCATCTGTGCCTCAGTTTCCTCAAGGGTAGAGGGCCCCCTCCCCTGCAGAAGGATAGAGTGAGGGGTGCCTGGGTGGCTCAGTCGGTGAAGCGTCTGCCTTCAGCTCGGGTCGTGATCCCAGGGTCCTGGGATCGAGCCCCGCATCGGGCTCCCTGCTCCGCGGGGAGCCTGCTTCTACGCCTCCCTCTGCCCCTCCCCCCAACTCGTGCTCGCTCTCTCAAATAAAGAAAACCTTAAAAAAAAAAAAGATGGGTTGAGGATGAAATGAGCGTTGTGCCCAGCACACAACAGGCAGCCTTCCACGCCCGGAGCTCTGGTTTTCGGGAGAGGGAGGGGAGGTAGCCGGTCTGCAGGGGCCTGCAGGTGGGGGCACGGACCGACACACAGACACATCCCGTCCTCGTCCAGAAAAGCCACTCGCTGTTCCTTCCACAGGAAGGGCAGGACGGGGCCCCGAGTGGCTGGCTGGACTGTGGGGGTGAAGGCGAGTACAGAGGAGAGCTGGGGGCACCCCCAGGACTGGGCCCAGCCCAGACTGCAGCTTCCCAGCCTCCTCCTCTGCCGCTGAGCTTCCGAGACGCCCCTGAGCCCGAGGCGGGGTGGGCTACACACCACAGTGGGTGACAGGCAGTCCCTTCGCCCCCTCGACCCTGTGCCCAGCTCTGCCCACCCCTGTTCCTTTCGGCAGAGTCCTCCTCATCTGGAAAGACCCAAAGTGAACAGCGCTTCCTCAAACCCATGCTCTCCCCACTGCCCCACTCAGCCGCGGGGCCTGTGGCGGAGCCAGGCTGCACGCTTGCCCACGGTGACTGACCCTGGGCACATGGCTCACCCCTCCAAACCTCAATGTCCAACCTGCACCATGGGAACAGGCGTACTGCCCCCAGAGCCATTGAGAGGGTAAAATAAGACCATTAAGCCACACCTGGCACATAGTAGGTGTTCAGGAGACGCAGCTCCCACGGGGTAACATCCAGCCACGACCCACCCAAGTGGGAATCCGTCTCCCCGGGGAGCCCCGCGGCTGATCCCAAGGCCCACGGGCCTCAGGCCTCTGCACTGGGTGTTCCCCCGGCCCCCGGAGCTCTTCCTCTGGGGGGCCTGCATGGCGAGCCCCGGCTGCTGCCCTTCAAGTCCATGTTCCAAGGCCACCTTCTCAGCCACGCCCTCTCTGACCGCTGTTTGCAGCTTCAGCCACCGGCCCCTACCCCAGCGCTCCCTATTCCCGACGGAAGTTTCCCCGCAGAGAAGCATCACCGAGCCTTCGTTAGGCGGTTCTCATTCACAACACCTGTGGTGCCCCCCCCCCCCCCCGCCGAGCTGGGACTTCCAGAGCTGGATGCACACAGTTCTCACGGGTCTTGTCCACACTGCTTTCCCCGGTGCCTGGGTGCTTGGCACGTAGTTGGTGCTCCCTAAGTACGTGAGGAAGCCAGCTGTATACTGTCACTAGTACCCAGCAGAGGAAGTTCTTTATTAAAAATTAAAACGGGCGCCTGGGTGGCTCAGCTGGTTAAGCGTCTGCCTTCGGCTCAGGTCATGATCCCAGTGCCCTGGGATCGAGTCCCGCATCGGGCTCCTTGCTCAGCGGGGAGCCTGCTTCTCCCTCTGCCTCTGTCCCTCCGCTTGTGCTCACTCACTCTGATTTAAAAAGAAAAAAAAAAATTAAAAACAAAAATAAAACTACTGAGATGCCTGGCTGGCTGAGTCGGTAGAGCATACAACTCCTGAACTTGGGGTTGTGAGTTCAAGCCCCATGTTGGGTGTAGAGAGGACTTAAAAATCTTAAAAAAAAAAACAAAAAACCCAAAACCAAAAAACCACCACCACCCAACATTTCCTGAATGCTCCTTACTTGCTAGCTCTAAGCAGTCCAGGCATTTTTCTTTTAATTCCAGTAGCGTTCACACAGTGTTCTCTTAGTTTCAGATGTAGAGCATAGTGACTCAATTCTATACGTTACTCGGCGCTCCTCAAGATAAGTGTGCTTAGTCCCCTTCACCTGTTTCACCCATCCCCCCACCCCAGGTGTTCTTGACTTTAGTGCTCAGAGGCCACAGCCCCAGATGACAGACGGAGAGGTGGAGGTTCAGCGAGGGGAAGCTACCTGCCCAGTCGCACCTGGCAGGTGTCACCAGGAACCCGTTGGCAGGTTTGCAGCCCATGGACTGGGCTAAAGGAAGGCTTCTCCCCAGCTCTGGGCCTGAGCCCTGAACACCCCAGGAAACTAGTGGGCACCTATCAGGCCCCTCAGGAGAATGGCCACCTGTTCAGGCTGAGCTTACCCACGTGGCTGAGCCAGAGGCCCTGCTGAAAGGCACAGCATGGAGTTGGGGCCCAGCCGCTAGAGACAGACGGGCTGCATGTAGCCCACTGTCCCCCAGGAAATCGAGGGCTCAGTGACTGGCCTGCCCCAGGCGGCACCACAAATCCTGCCGGGCCTGGCTTCCTGACCCCCAGCTCACCACCTTGTAGGCCCTGCTCCTCCTGCACTCCCCAGATGCAAAACCTGTTTTTATTTACAGCAGGAAGCTCTGGAAGGTTCCTGGGGCAGCCCAGGTCTCACGGACACACAGAAACACATACAGGGACAGGGTAGGGGCATGCCTGGAGCAGCGCACCAAGTGGGTTCTCGATCAACACTGCTGAGGAAGACAAAGCTGATACACCTGCTCAGGCCACACACGCTCATGCATGTTCAACCTTGCACGCACACACACAAGCACACTGCTACCATATGCTCACACGTGTTCAGTCTTGCACCCAGTGTTCAGCCTTGCATGCTCCCACGTGTCCAGTCTTGCACACGCACACACAAGCACACTGCTCCCACGTGCTCACGTGTCCAGTCTTGCACACACACACTGCTCCCACATGCTCACAAGTGTCCAGCCTTGCACGCTCACACGTGTTCAGCCTTGCACACACACAAGCATACTGCTCCCACATGTTCAGCCTTGCACACACACACAAGCACACTGCTCCCATATGCTCCCAAGTGTCCAGCCATGCACGCTCACACGTCACTAGCCTTGTACATGCACATACAAGCACATTGCTCCCACATGGCTCTTCCCCAGCCTCTCCTTATAAGGCCTCTCTGTGGAAGGCAAAGGCCCCGGAAGTGGCGCTTTGGGGCCCTCAGCTCAGGTCAGCAGGCCTGATGGGGACTTCCCCCAGCACTTCCGGTGCCGCTGGGTGGGGTCAGCACGGGCATCCAGCTTGGCGGGAGCACTTCATCACCATCCACACTGCAGACGACAAGACTAAGCAGTGGGAGGACCAGGCCTATCTATGCTAATCTGCCCACCCCCATTTTCCAAGGTCGCCAGTGGGGCCGAGCCGGGTGCTTGTTGGCCGCTGTGGAGGCCAATCCCCCCACCACCCCTTCAGCCCCTGGTGGCCCAGAGGAAGAAGCCCCGGGGCTACAGCCCTGAGGGTCTCTGGGCCCACCGCTGGTCTGCAGAATGCCAACTTCCCAGCTCCAACTGTCCCAGACTGTGTGACTGGGCGTCTCTGCCTCTTGCAGGGTCTTGGCAAGAGCATCTAGACCCGGGGGGCCAGGCTGCAAAAGCCTGTCTAGCATAATGTTCCAGAGTTCCCGGCTGTGCGTGCTGCTGAAGACAGCAGCTCTCATACTAGTAACACAGCCAAGAGGACTTGGGGAGCCCTGACCATTGTTCCCTGGGACCCAAACAAAGGTCCTCAAGCGGGAGAGGAAGGGGCTGATAAACATGACTACAGGCACAGTGGGACAGGCTGGGGGGAGGCTCAGAACACAGCTATCAGCCAATCACCTTTAGCATGAATTCAGACAGAAATACTCATAGTATGCTGCATTAACTAACACCTTAAAGGGGCTGGGGGGTAGATCTGGGGGAAGGGGGTGGGAGGGAAGAGGTGCATTTTCCCGTTTTCATAACTTCTGCAAAGCAACTAAAACCAGCAGGGCCTCAGCAGTGACTCCCAGCCCCCAAGTTAGCAATGAGGAAGTGGTAACCCAGACAGGGAAGTAGCTTCTCTGGCCACTGTCGCCTCAGGGCTACATCCTCCTAGAGGAGAATCACTGGATTGTTCTCGGTGGTCAGACTGGCCACCCTGCCACGGGAACTCTGACGTCATCGTTCCCAGGAAAACCTCCATGGGACCTGGGCTAGGACCCACCGCCAACCAGTCACCCTAAAGAATACCAACTAGAGTTGCTTTGCCCAAGGGTGTCGACAACACAGTGCCTCAGCAATGGCTCCTGGGGGGGAGACAAAGTCAGGCTGAGGCCATGGCCTCCGAACACCCACCCACTTGTCACTGTGCCTCTGTGAGCCAGCACCGTGGGACCACTGGACTGTTGGGGTCAGAGGGAGGGAGGAAGGGGCTCTGGGGACGGTATTGGGACTAGGAGTCCATGTGCAGTGATCTGCGCCTCATTACCCCAGAAACAGAGGCTGGGGGAGTGTGGGCCAAACGCGGAGCCTCCCCTGGCTGGCTCCCCTCTGCCAGCCTAAAGCCAGGGTCTCCGTGTTCCTAGTTGCCCTTCCCCTGCATCCTTCCAGCACACAGTGAACACTCAGTATGAACGGGCTGGAGATCACCCAGGGCTGGGGCTGGGAGAGCACGGGGAAGGGTGGCCTGAGGTCTGGGAGGGAGTTTGGGTCTCCAAAGTAGGGAGTGGGTTTCCCTCCAGGGGGTGCCAGAGACCCCGCACTGGGATATGGAGGAGGTAAGCGCCCTAGGGGCAGGGTATGTGCTTTGTCCACCCAGGTATCTCCCCACCAACTAGAGTGCCTGGCACGTACTAGGGGCTCAATAATAGTTCTTAAATGTGGCTGCAGGAATCCCATCCTTCTCTTTAGGAGATGGGCTACAAGAAATGAATATGTTTAATTATCTCAGTGGCCTCTGTATGCAATTTGTACATATTTACTGGGGACTACGTGCTCAGTTGTTTTTTTTTTTTCTTTTCCTTCCTGATTAGGGTCAATGATTAGCAAAGGTTGGAAACCTGAAATCTAGAAGGTCCTCTCTCAGCATTTGGGAAGAACTCAGCTCCCCTCCAAAGCAGAGCAAGCCAGGTGAAGCCTGGCTCAGCGCTCCTTCCTTTTACAGTGCTGGGGTCAAATTCTGACTCTCTCCATACTGGCTGGATGCCCTCAGCCAATGCTTCCTTCACATCTCGATCAGAAAAGGTTGGGACTGAACAAGGTACCGGCTGTAGGTTCCTTATTGCTTTCAGAGAAACTTGGCCAAGGTCCTCTGAAGCCAGAGGTTTGGCTGTATCTGAGACTAAGCCAGGCAGGAGCAGTCTGGAGCAAGATCCTGGCCCTACAGGCACTCAGGGAAGTCCCCACCCAGCTCAGAAGCTCCAGGGAGCTGCCAGCAAGCCATTTTGCACACGTGCTAAGCAGTTACTCAACTTCCTGTTGTGGATGGAGTAGCCCTTGCCACCCCAGACAGACCAGCTAATACCTCCTCCCCAGGTCTGCTCCCGAAGTCTTCTAAACCAGGCAAAAATCAAGTCAAGAAACATAAATGAAAACAATCATAGAATGGCACCATTAAAGCTTACTAATAAAGCAATCCAAACAAAACAAACTCCAAAAACACATAAAACTCAATGTTGGCAGGGTTGTGGAGAAACTCTCATTTGCTGCTAATTTGTTTAGCCTTTCTGAAGAGCAGCGCAATAACAATTCAACAACCGGGTCGGAACAAGCAGAATAACACCAACAGGAACTTAAAAATTAACACTCTTTGGTGGCATAAATTCATTCTGGTGCTAAGAAAATAGCCACTTGTTTTTTTCTTTAAGCAAACATGTTCTTAATAACCCCCCTTTAGAATGGTGGAAGGGTGGAAAAATCCAGAGGACTACAAATATGGCAAGAGTGAATTCTGACACTAACATGTGGGGATACCATTTAACTATTTGAGAGGATGTGAGCACAGAGACACACATAAACTACCTTTATCGGCATCTTTAAATGCCCAATAGTTTTAACCAAGACCCTTGAAAGCAAGCCTAAAAAGTCTTGTGGGTTTTTTTTCTTTAAACCTTCATTTTGTACAGAAGGCAACAGACTCAGACAAAAAGTCAAGATTTACTCAAAGCCACACAGCTCCTACATGGCCCCGTGTGGGATTCTGACCCCAAATCTCTGAGGTTGGCACCATCCAGACACTTTGATAAATGTGGGCAGGCCTTATACTGGTAGTGGCAACAGTAAGAGCACACACCTGTACTCTGTGTGTGCTTCCACCCATGATCCCATGGAAGCCTCAGGACGTCCCCATTTTACAGATAAGATAGGTTGAGGTCCAGGGAAGTTAGGTGGCTTGCTAAGGTCATCAGCCAGTGATGGAAGCTGGCACTCTTACCCCGGTCCCGGGGAACGGGTGCCCTTAACAGGCGCGGGGGGTCCGGGGACAGCCTGGAAGGACCCCGGCAGAGCCTCCGGCTCCGTCCCCGCGCTAGGCTGGCTACGGGGCTTCTTAGTGTTACCGTCACCGCCCAGGGCGGGCCCGCTGCTCTCCCACCGCCGGCCAAGGAGGGGCGGCTCAGTCCGGCGTCCGGGACGCCCTCCCGGTGAGGACCGCGGACCCGGGCCCCAGGGGCAGGGGCTGGGCGGGAGGGGGGGGGGGTTCTCTCCAAGCCGGGGGGGGGGGGGGGGGGGGCAAGGTGGGCGGGGGCGCCAGCTCATTTCCCGGCCGTAGCAACCCGGAAGGCTGGAAGATGGAGGGGAAGTGACTGGGCGTGGGGCCCTCGCGGCCCGAAATAGCGGGGGGCACCGATCGCGGGGCAGGGGCAGGAAGGGGTAGACCGGGGCGACGGGGGCGGGGGGGGCGGGGGGGAGGCCGGGGCCGCCCCGAGGGCGCCGGGGGCAGGGAGCCCTGCATTTCCTTCTCCCGGAGGGGGCCGCCCGCCGACCGACCCCGGGCCCGGCCCGCCATCCCCTGGTCCCCTCACCTCCAGGCGACCCCACACACCTGGCAAGCCCCCAGCCCTGTGTCCCTTCACCCAGGCACCCTCTCCCCACGCCCCCACGTCTGCGGGCGTCCCGCACCCTCCTCACCTGCATGCAACTCTCCGCCCTCTCCCCTCCGGGCGCCCCCTCCCCTCCGGAGGGTCCCCCAGGCCCCTCACCTCGGGGCGCCCCGGCCGCGGACTCTGGGCAGTCGACGCGCCGAACCGGCTCTGGGCCCCGCGCGGCGCCGCAGCCACTTCCTCGTGGGCGGGGGGCGGGGCCTCCCAGCCTCAGCCCCGCGGGGACGGGGGCGGCGACCCGGGTGGCGGCGGCCGCGAGATCCCAGGCCCCGCCCACCCAGCCGGGGTGGGGGCTGCGCGGAGCCCGGGCGCCCAGAAATCAGCCGCGACCACTCCTCGTAACTTTACGCGTGGGGAAACTGAGGCTCCGAGAGGCGCCCAGGCGGAGCCGCAGCTGGGCGGGGCGCGCACGTCCCCGCCGCCGCGAGAGCGCCCTCTCCATCCTTCCTCCGCGAGCTGATACCCTCGGGGCGCAAAAACAGTGCAGGCCCGGAACCGGCTGCGGGCAGGAAGGCGAGGCGAGGCCGCCCTCCCGCCCTCGCTGCAAAACGCGCCCGGGGCAGGGCTGCCCGCTAGCCTCTCGCAGCGACTCTGGCTGGCCCCGCTCGTTCTCTCCATGAGGACTCCTTGCCCTTTGATTCCGCTGCGGGTCCACTTCTCGCTTTTAAGTTGCCTGGTGGCCTTGCAGCCACGTGAATTTCCCCAGGGGTCTTTCTGTCCTTAGCCTCTGCCTCATCAGTGGAGATGTGGCCAGGTGGCGGGGCAGATGGGGGAGACCCTGGTGAAGGCCCTGCTGTGCCCTCTCGGCCGGTCAGACCCCTCCCCAGGAGTCCTCTCTTCCAGGGTCAGCCAGGCCACCGGCAGCGGATGGGGCGCGGGGCCCTCCCGGACTCAGAAGGTCTGGGGCCAGACTCCCACCCTGACCGGTCTCGGGGCTGTGACACATGCTGTTCTTTCTGCCTGGAACACTGTTCCCACCCTGTCCCCACCTGGCCAACTTCAGTTTATCCTGCAGGACGTGTCTCTTAGCTCACTGTGTCTACAACCCCCACTGGAGGTGTCCGCCGGACTCCCAGCAGGACCCTGCGCTCACCCATTCCGGCTCCTGTTACACTGAGTTCCTCCTCCGTGGGGGTGGTGGAGAGGAGGACATGGGTCCGAACATGGCAGCTCTTCCAGGAGCGAGCGAGCTTCAGCTGCAGCTTGTGGGACTACCAGCCTTCCTGGCTCCAGGAGACACTGCGGGGCTGTCACCAGCCCTCCCATCTAGCCATGGAGAAAATCCCAGAGACATGACCAGCACCCTGGTCAGACTCTAACTGGTCAGCTCCAGCCGGACCTGATTCCAGAGGTTTCTGGACCAGTGAGCCAAAGACTTGACTTCTTCAGCTGGCTTGAGTTGAAACTTTGTTACCCATTGCTATAAGCACCCTGACAAATAGGAACGCCTGAGGATTCCTCCTCCCCAGGCCCTGGGGTGGAGATGTTGCACTCCCCCCTTCTCAGGCTTCCAAGAAACGCAGCTATACACCCAGGCTGACTTCCGGGTTGGCTGACTTGCAGGAGGGCAGTCCTTTGGGGGCTGGTGCAATATCCTCAGGTCCTCAAGGTTCTTTCCGGCTTTCTGTTCCTACCTCCTGGCTGCACTGGCCTTGCTGCCTCCTGGTCACAAGAGGGCAGCCTAGCTCCAGACATCTGGACTCTGGACGTGGTGGGCTGGCCCCGGCAGTGGGGAGGGAGACCAGGCAGGAAAACCTTTCCCGAAACACCCAGTCTGATCTCCTTGTGTCTCAGCGTGTGCCCACCTCGACATGGGGACCATGGGTCACTCTCCCTGAGATAAAGGGATTGCCACCTGATCCCTGTGAGGAGGAGGAGGAGAAACCCCTGTGTCTCCCTAACCAGGCCACACCTGCATGTGAGGTGGACAAAGCCCAGGGGGCCCAGAACATGCTTAGCATCTCATATCCCCGGGCCGGGATGGGGGCGGCACCTGTTACACACCCCCTTCCAAGCCACATGGTTTTGTATCAGTTTGATTGGACACTACAGCGAAACCCCCCAAGGTATAGTTGGAAGGGTCCCCTCCTGTCCGCTTCCGTCACCTCACCCTGCCCCTGAGCCCGGGCTGACTCACCTGGGCTTGCTCACCAGGCATCTCCACTCCCGGCCCTCGCCCAGCAGGGGGCGTGCTTAGCGGTTACCGCGGGCGCTCTCCACCTTGCGTGGGGCTCCAACGCACAATCCCAAGTGCAAGAGTCGCTTGCTCCACTGACTGAGCCAGCCAGCCAGCCAGCCCGCCAGCCAGCCCCCCACCCCCACCCCGGACTTGTTTTGTCATCTTTAAAATGTGACAGTAGGTTTCAACCCTGTAGGGTTGTTGTGAGTAGTTAACGCCTATCAGTTGCGTTCCTTGGTGCGGGGTCCAGTAGCTATTCTCAGGTAGTGCGTCAAAGGTGTGGCTATGGCACCTTTCCTGGGATCCCCCGGTGAATGAAGTAACGGTGGTGGCTTTCCAACTTTCTTTTTTTTGTCAGAGAGAGAGAGAGAGAGAGAGCGAGCACGCGCACAAGCAGGGGGAGCGGGAGAGGGGGAAGCAGGCTCCCCCTGCTTGTGCGGGGAGCCCGATGTGGGGCTCGATTCCAGGACCCTGGGACCATGACCTGAGCCGAAGGCAGACGCTTAACCGACTGAGCCACCCAGGCGCCCCTTTCCAGCTTCTTCTGGGCATGCCCCACAGTGATGTATACTGTGACCCCGAACACACCCCCACGTATATCCGAACCCTAGGTATCGTGACGTCCCCTTACTGCTATGCCAAATGTTCTTTTCTTGTTTCAGTTTTTCAAATGCCAATCATGACCTACGAAATTGATTTTCACAACCACGAATGGGCTCTGACCCGCAATTTGGGAAAAACTGTTCTAGACCCTGTATCTCTTCCTTTTTCTGAATTGACAGCGTATGTATTAGTTTTCTATTGCTGCTGTAGCAACTTGCCACAAACAGGGCAGCTGAAAAAAACACAGATGTGTTCTCTTACGTTTCTGGAGGTCAAAGTCCCCGGTCTCGGTGCGCAGCGTGGCGTTCCTTCCGGAGGCTCCGGGGGAGACCTTGTTTCCTTGTCTTTTCCAGCGTCCAGAGGCCGCCTGTGTTCCTTGGCTCTGAGGCCCAGCGGCACTCCCACCCGCGGCCCCATCTCGGATTCACCTGCCTGCCTCCCTCATAAGGATCCCTGGGATTACAGTGGGCCCACCTGGATAATCCAGACTCCTCCTCCTCTTTAACTTAACTTAATTACATCGGCAAAGTTCATGGTTCTGGGGATTAGGGCATGGACACCTTGGGGGGGGGGCATTATTCTACCTACTGCACCCGGTATTTAAATTATACATGTATAAATAAATAACCTAACCTTATAATTTATATACTTATCTACACGGGACCTGAGTCCACACAGGGTAGCTCACGTCTTGGCCACACTGCAGGCGCTGAGGGAAACCCTGACCCTCCACATCATTGCCTCCAGAGTTGGGCACACTTGGGAGCTAAGCCACTTGTGTGATGGCCGTTGGGCCAAACCGAGAGTCGCCTAAGCAATCAGTCGGGGTTCTGAGGCTGAATATTCTCGGAATATTCCGGAAAGAACTATTGGATTTTTCTTTGGTTAGCAAGATCCTTTACACACTGCTTCCCACTCTACCACACTGTTATTAAGGGTCTCCAGGGCCTGTAATAGGGCCGGTGCCAAGCCTAAAAGTGAACCTCGGCTTTACTGAGTAACTAACAGGAATTAGTTTTGTTTTTTAAGATTTTATTTATTTCAGAGAGAGAGAGAGAGAGAGAGAGAGAGAGAGAGGGCGCGCGAGAGAGCACAAGCCGGGGGGAGGGCCAGAGGGAGAGGGAGAAGCAGACTCCCCACGGAGCAGGGAGCCCAGTGTGGGGCTGGATCCCAGGACCCCGGGATCATGACCTGAGCTGAAGGCAGAGGCTTAACCGACTGAGCCACCCGGGCGCCCCTACTAACCGTCTTTACTGCCTTTTTACAGCTGAGGATACGGAGGCTCAGTGATGTTAACTAGATTACTCAGGGTCACACAACTTGGCACAACTATAACCTGACATCAAAGCCCAAAGCCTTGAATCAAAGGGCTCTGGCAGTCACCCCAGATAGGCAGTTATTGTGGCCCCGGGCCAGGCAGCACCGGGGGTTTCCAGCTGGATGGGTGAGAAAAGACAATTCTGGCTAAGTTCTTAGAGGCAAAGTTAGAAATTTTTGTTTCTTTGTTGCCGTTGTTTCTTTCATGGAATGCAGTGTTTCTCTAAAAACCTCTGGGCTTGCTGGCCAAACCATGTGATGTAATGAAACGAAAAGGAAACTTTTAGCTAATTCCTGTTTAGGGTCTACTTTTGTCTGTCCCGTGACAACGGCCTTGCGGACGCACAGGTGCAAACACGTGTAACACAAAGGGGCTCCTGCCATTGGGGGTCCCAAAAGGTGGCTACCGCCAACAGGGACGAGGCAGGCCCCCCAGGCCAGGCCCTCGGCTGCTGAGATTCTCTCCTGGAGGAAAGTAAAGCTCCCCATGAGACACCAAAAGGGCAAAATTACTCTTGTGAATGTATCACGATGTCCTCCAAGAAGCACTGTTACCAGTGTCCTAAAACCAGGGTTGTCTTTGAATCACCGTGAGGCAGGAGGCAAGGGAGGCTCGGGGGGCAAGTTGATCGAAGTCATTTTGGATTTAGGCTGACCCTTAACCTAAAAGTCAACAGGTCATAAAAAGCATCACAAGACCCCTCTCCCTCTGGCAGTAAAAGCCACGAAGTTTGGACATTCTTTCCACTGCTCCCCGTGGGTAATTCTGCAACCCTAGGCAATGGAAAAACCGCCCGATGGAAATGATAAACCCAAAGTTAAAAGAGTAAGCCCCTCCCTGCACAGCTAATTTTTAAAAACGTATAAAACCCCCTGTTGGAGGCAAAACAGTGGTGGCGGGCAGGGGTGGGGTCCACTTCCCCACACTCTGTAAAGTAGCTCCTTTCTTACTTCTACACTTAATTTTTGTCTCTTTCTCTAAATGGCTTGCTCTTGAATTCTTTCTCGTGCAAAGCCAAGAACTCTTTTGGTGAGGGGCCTCAACCCATCAGACCCCCACTGCTCCCCCTCTCCTGGGCCAGGGAGAGCAGGAACATGGCTGTGCTCAAGGCCACTTCGTATTTACTCCCTTTGCTAATTATTTATATTTGCACCTCTCAAGATTTTCAGCATTGGAACGTCAAACTTCCCATCTGATGATGAGAACTCAGTTTGGGCCCCGTAATGTCTAGCGGAACCTGTTGAGGTACTGTGTCCCTTTCCTGTCCCCACGGCACATCCCTGCAGCCCCCGCCCCAGGCACAGAGCGGCCCCCCCCGGCGCCGCAGAGCAGGCTCAGCAGCCGGGCGCCTCTGCGGCCTCCTGCGCAACGCGGGAATGGCGCGGGCTCTGCGGCAGCGCTCGGAGGCTGGAAGACAGCAATCAGTAAATGCTTCTTTTCTCAGAGGTGGGAGAGGGTGGCTCGATTTCAGAATCTAAGATTTTACCCTAAAAACAAACTAGTCTAATGAAGCGTTTGTCCCTATTTTTCTAATGGAAACAGCATAAGGAAACAAAACCAGACACATTCAGTATTTTTATTTGTTTAGCAGACAATGGACATGTCTCCCACCCTTTCCTTTAAGTTAGTGTGACAATTTTCCATAATAAACTACCTAAAGAGAAGCTTTGGTCAAGAATGGAATGAAATAGCAGAAACAAAAAACAGAAAAACCCAAATCACGGCTGCTTTTAAAAAACCAACACTGTCACCAGTTATATTCAAACAAAAACACACAAACGATATTTGCGCAAAACTTGTCTTCAGTGTCTCCTTGCGGCTGGCTCTCCTCACCACCATGCACACGGTGGGGCTGCGTCAGCGCATCTGTCAGTCTGTCAGTCTGTCCATTTGTCATGCTGGATCTGGGAGGCTCACTCAGCTTCACATTATCCGGAGGCCCTGGATGGAAGACTCTAAGGTCTTGAAAAGGGCAGGAAGAACACTGAGAGTTACTGAGGACGATGTGGGGTCTTCCCCCAGCCCCCCTGCACCACACGACTGCCCCCTCCCCACCAGCCGACTCATGTGCAGGCCCTGTACCCCCCCAAATCTGCCTTAGCCCAGCTGACACCCGCTCTCCCAGGCCTGGGCCCCCTGCTGGCCCTTCCAAGCCCTGCGCTCCCCTGTCGCCAGGGCTCCGAGCCACAGGATCTGGGCCAGCGGCACTTAACTGGTGAGGGCTGCCTGCGTGCGTGTCCCGTGCCTCTCGCCACACCCCAGAGGCCCTCACGGCAGGCACTCCGTTTTCACAGGCCACACAGTGGCGGGCCCGGGGCACAACACGCAGCAGGTGCTCAAAGGTGGACGGACCACAGGAAACTGCCCTACGACCTCCTAGCGTACAGCATACACAGGAGAGAAAAGGCAGTGGCCCGAGGGATCAGAGAATAAAGTGAGAGTGTAACCAGTCACACTGGGAGCTCGTTTCATGGGGGCCGCAATGCCCAGGGTGCAAAGCACGGGAAGGTAAAAAGGGTGGGGGGTGGGGTGGGGACTTTTAGAGGAAGACAGTTTGCTTCTCCAGAGTATTCTGGAGGCTTTTTTCCATATTATGTATTTCACCCAAGGATGGGGGAAAAAAAAAATCCAACATCATGGAAATGCACAGGCAGGAGCAAAATTCTGTAAACATCTACCTGTTTTGGGGGTGACCACCAGGAGAAATGAAATTCACAGGGCTGCCCATGGCAGCCCCCCTCTCTTACCCCTGCCGCTCCCCTCTGCTTCCTTATCTCGCCCACCATCCACCCAAACCCCAAGGACAGTGTGCAGAGTCCCCCCGCATTTGCTCCTCACAATGCCCCTCCCCTTGGCCTCCTACATCTCCCTCCAGTCCAGAAGCTCGGGGCCACACCCCCGCCACCACTGCGGGTCACCTCCTCCTCACTTGTTCACCGGACTCAACAGCCTCTGCCCAGAGCCCACGGCTGTCCAGGCCTTACAGCCTGGAGCTCCTCTATCCGGCTCTGGACCAGCCCCTAGTTACCTGCAGACAAAGCCCAGCGCCTCTCCCTGACCACGCCATGGCCCGTTTCCTAGTTCCACCTGGTGCTTCCGCAGGAGCCACACCGCAGCCCAAGCCGCCGCGGTGCCTCAGCCGTGGCGCGTGCTCCGAGCTCGGCCGGTCTGCATCTGCTGCTCTTGCAGCTCAGACGGCTCGCCCCCACCCCTGAGTGTGCCCCAAATCCCACTGCATCTGGAGACGCAGCTCATGCCAATCTCTTCCCTGCAGTGCTGGTAATCTCCCCGCCCCCCCCATTCCTCTGTAGAAACAGAGGCACTGGCCTCTCTCTTCGGAGCTCCATGGAACACCGTCACCCTCTACCAGACAAGCTGCTTGAGGGCTCTTTCACCTCAATATCCTCGGGGCCCAGTACCAGGCCTGGCACCCAACAGGCATTTCGTGAATGTTTATTAGATTGATTCGTGTAAACCATGAAAATATATCTAGATCGTCAAACAGACTGGTGGCTCAACACAGGGCCTGCTACAAAAGTACCGCTCAAGTCTCCCTCCACGGACGGATGGCCATCTAGATCGATGTATCCCATCTCACCGTGAAAGTCTGCTTTTTTCCGTTTTTTTTTTTTAAGTAAGCTGTACACCCAATGTGGGGCTTGAACTCGACCCCGAGATCAATAGTCACATGCTCTGCCGACTCAGCCAGCCAGGGGCCCAGACTTTCAGGTTTTAAAGACAACTATAAGCTAATGTTCTCCGGTTCTGATGTGCACTGGATCTGACATTTTGTTCCAAGAAATGAGAAACATTCTTGTCTTTTAATGCAAACGTTTCTTCTGAAAAGTAGAAAATACCTTGAAATCCCAAATTGTCATGGCTCCATCGATGCCAGTAGTGCAAAATTTGCGACAATCTTGCTTGTCCACCTCATAAATAGACACCTGACTGAAAGAAAGCAAAGACAGGAGAGCCTGTCAGGTATGTGGTGGGAGCGGGCCCCAACCTTCCTAACAGTGTAAGGGCGTTTGAAGGCAACAAATTCCCAATTCCTAAATATTAAGTTGTCCATCAACATTAGGCCGCAGCAATCTGACACAGAACATATTCAAATGAATCTTACTACCGGATGTCCAGAAAAGCCAAGACTGGAAAGGTAAGAAGCTGCATTCATTACTGTGACGTCAAGAGGCAAGGACAAGCCAGGCCACGCAGGACGAAAACTGCCCGGGAGCAGAGTGTGGGCAGGACCACAGCAATGACGAAAATGGAAACAATTAAAAACAAAAACTAGAGGCAGGATGAAGCATGACTGAAATCCAACTGGCTCCAAACAAAAACTCCCAAATCTCCTTCCAAGACAAGCAGGGCCTGTGAGTCAAGAGCTTGCCCTGCACTTGAAATGAATCATTGTAAATGTGAGCAACACTCAGACACGTCAAGATTCCAAGCAAGCAATGCAGAGGAATAGATGAATGAAACAACCTGTCTTAGCCTAATTATCTGAAAAACTTTCAAGAAAATTCCATAGCTTAGACAATAATTTTTCTTTCTCCTCTGAAATGTCTAGAACATTCCCTCTAGGGAAGGAGATGGCAAAACTATGGCACATGTAGCCTGTTAACCAAGAACAGCTTTAATGACTTTAAATGGTTACCAAAAATAAAGTTACAAAAAAATGACTATTATTTCGTGATGAGGAAATTCAAATCAGTGTCCATAAAGTTTTATTGAAACACATCCACGCGCACTTATATACGTACTGCCAATGGCTGCCTGCACGCCATCACAGATGTCAGTAGTTGTGACAGAGCCTGGCTACCTCCTCAGCCTAAAATATTTACTCTCTGGTCCCTTACAGGGAAAGTGTGCCAACCCTTTGCTTAAGGGCAAAGAGGACTTAATAACGGCAAATAAAAGCAAACATGCCAATCTGCAAGGTCTTTTTTTAATGCAATGAGAGCTGTTACCCTCCTGATACACCGACTGCAGAGAAGCTTCAGAGAAGTCCACAAGAAATAATTTTGAAAGTCATTCAAGACAAAGAAACGAGAAGCACAGGGAAGACCTGCTATGCCTTCAAGTTACTACTGTCCAGTAGAGCACAGACATTTCGGCCTATTTTAAATTCAGCGGCCCTTTCCACCGAACATGACAAGGACAACCTGCATTTAGTAGTTCTCCCAAAGAGAAAGTCTAGAGGTTTCCAATTCTTGTTCCCGCCATCATCAGCACAATGCAAATCTCTCAACACAAAAGGTCCAGTCAAAAAGAGAAAATGTTATGGTACCTAACTCTGACCACAATCATTGAAAATATCAAGAACAGATTACATTTCTCCTCTAGATTTAGAAAAAACCAAGCTTTCTGGATAAAACACAGTTCACATGTGCCTGATGAAAACCTCAAGTCAAGAAACTCCTTGGTTTTGCCTGAGCTTATCAAAGAATTCTGTTTCTTTAGTTAAGTGATCTTCTTACTGGTATAGATCACTTGAAATCCATGGTTGAAACGACAGCTAGAATTACTTTTTCAACCAGGGGATAACCGGTCTTCCCGTCTCGTGTTCACTACCAGAGAGGACCATAACATTCAGGAAGGTGTCCTTTTGTTCTCAATCAGGGTTTGAGAAAGCAAGCCCCAGGAAGAGGCTGCCCTGCCAGGCACACCAGCTCACCGTCTGCCGTAGGATCAGCGCTCCTCACGGGGGATGCCGCGTACCAGCCGCACCTCGAAGGACAGAATGCCTAGGTGGGGGCGGCTCACTCTGTCCCAAGCTGAAAATAAGAGCCCGTAGTCGGGAAGCTACAGACTTCTCTCTGCTCCTGCTCCTGAAGGAATGTCTGGGCACACAGTACACACAACTTGCAAAGGGACCCAGTCGGGAAACAAGGAGAGGGAGAAAGGCATCCTTGTCACCCAACACTTCTCCACAGATGGTCAGGGCCCTGGCTACAGGTGGCTTCCGGGGGCCCCTGGTAGCTGGGGGGCACGTACGTGATGCTATTCTGGTGCAGCGTCTCCAAGGCTGTGTTGCGGTCCTCGGTCGTGGCCCTCTTGTCCATGTTGCGGAAGCGCTCCATGGCAGACATGTTGCGCTGGATGCTCTGTTTGGGAATGTCTAGTTTGGAGACGAAGGTCAAGCAGCCACGGTCATCGTAGTTGAAGAGCATTGGGCAGCAGTCATGGCCCTGAAATAAGAGCTCAGTCAGGCGCCGAGGGTGTGCTGCCCACCCACCAACCCCTCCGCAGAACGTGCACACCACAGGCATCTCTTCCTCTTCAAGGCTAGCCATTCTAAAAGGCTGTCCTGGCTTGAGCCAGTACACCAAGTCACAGAGCACGCACCGTTCCTGCTCTGGAGAATTACCTAGTGTACTACAAGGGAGAATGAAGAGAATTACTTACCGCGGCTACAACGCTATTCTCTGAGACAAACGACACACTCAGGAGGGGCAGGAACTCTGTTTTCAGAGTTGAGACCCTGAACACAAGAACAACTGTTAAACTGAGATGGAACAGACCACGCAGCTTCTTTATAGACACGGCAAATGAAAAGGACCCGTTTTCACAGGGGCTTGTGCAGTGTAAACGAACACTTATGCTTAAAAAGAGCCCCATGACCTGTACTTTCAGGAATCCCAAGCATGACGCAGCCCTGGGGTCACCTGTAGAAACAGAGGCCTCTGGCCCTCTCTGGCCCACCTGCTTCTTAGGCCCCCCACTCGTGACAAACTGGCCCCCAGCAAGTCTTCCTTCCCATCTCTGCCTTTGCTCCCACACCCTCTACCCACATGCTGTCTCTTGCTTGTCCACCAAAGTCCACCCTGGTCTCCGAAGCTCAGCTCTCATCTGATCACCTCCATGAAGCTTTCCTGACCTCTTCAGCCGAAAGTGGCTTCTCCTCTGACCACCTACTGCTCTGCGTGTCACTGTCACTTGTGACTGAATGCCTTGTCCTTCCATCCTCTCCTTGCCTGTGCTCACCGTGGGCTCCCAAAGGGTGGGCACAAACATCTAGGAGAGTCTATTCTCTTTTCTCTGCCAGGCAGTGGGGGAGGAGCTGGGGACAAGTCCTGGCCGGCCAGGAGCTCGCACACAAAAGGGCTGGGGGAGGTGTCTGTGTACCCATATACTTAGTAGTTATCTGCTGCAGCACCTGGCCAAGAGGTCACACAGACATGCGGGCAAACGTGTGGGCTGATGAATTAGGATCACAGAACTTCATGTAAAAGATGGTGCATTTTGAAAACTGTCTCAGGAGACCCCATTGGAATTGGACTGAAGTCCTAACACCTCATCTTAAGGCCTTACTGTGGCACACTTGCCTCCTACTACATGAAATATTTATGTTCGAGAAGGAGAAGGGCAGAGGATATGATCAGACTTGCAGGACTAGAAAAGCCAAATCATAAACCAATATGAGGGCAAACGGGGGACTGTAATAAGCATATGCTAAGAGCTTATTATGCATTACAATAAACTGTACACAAATCAAATAACCATGACATCAAAACTAAATGACAAAAGACAAATTACTGTATAAAATGTATAGCATAATCCCACTGGTGTTCAAAATGAAAAGATATGTAAGTGCCTATACATGTACAGAAATCTCGAAGACTATACCATTTATTATGGTGTTAAAAAAAGTAAATAAACCCAATTCAATCCAGTTGGTAAAAAAATATCCTCTCTGAAATGTCACTTGTCACTGTGCAGCAGAGGGGGGCAGAGACACCTGAGGTGACCGGTTCTTACCACACAGGTTGACAAGTTAGGAGACCTTTTAGGGTGGGTAACCTTTAGCTGCCAATGGAAAAGGATTCACCAGGAAGAACAAAGATTCATAAGGGGAAAGAATTCCAATTATCGTCTCTCTTCCTCCAGCGTATGATGAGCAGATATAAAATTTTTTAAAGATTTATTTATTTGAAAGAGAGAGAGAGAATGAGAGAGAGAGAGCACATGGGGGGGGAGGGTCAGAGGGAGAAGGAGACCCCCTGCTGAGCAGGGAGCCCGATGCGGGACTCGATCCCGGGACTCCTGGATCATGACCTGAGCCGAAGGCAGTTGCTTAACCCACTGAGCCACCCAGGCGCCCGAGCAGATATAAATTCTGATGTGGGGGGCGCCTGGGTGGCTCAGGTGGTTGAGCGTCTGCCTTCGGCTCAGGTCATGACCCCGCATCCTGGGATGGAGCCCCACGTCCAGCTTCCTGCTCCATGGGGAGCCTGCTTCTCCCTCTTCCTCTACCCTTCCCCCTCCCTTGTGCTTGCTTGCGCTCTCTAAAATCTTAATAAATAAATTCTGATGTATGACAAGATACCTGGTGCTCTCCCTAAGGCTGGGCAGGTGCCTCCCTCACAAATGAGTCATTGCAATTCGAGTTCTTCTGGCATACTCCAGAAAAACTGGTATCAGGGTTTTAAGTATTACTGAATGAAATTCCAAATTAATGGAGTCACTGTTCACTGACTACACAGAGTAAGAACCTTATCTCCTACTTAAGACTGCTGGATGACGTGGTACCTGTTGTGAGAAATTCACACGAACAGACTAAATTGGCTATCTGAAGGAACTCTTATCAGCAGCAAACCAGGAGAGTCCTTCAAAGGAATCACCATCACTACCTCCCCATTAAGAAGTGTTTCTGGAAGTGAGACCTAACTTTAAAATTTCCCCGAATGGACAATCTAAATGTGTGTCTGTGACTTTAAAGGCGGCCTTGCAGTTCTGGGTCACAATTTTATGCTCACATCCTGAACTTCCCCCAGGGAAGGACAGCCTTAGCCCAGCTGGTGAGAGATCCCAAACCACTCCCTAACTCCAAGCAAAAGGCAAATACTCACTGCACACTTTTTGAGGCATCAGCAACGGATACGGTGCTGTCGTGGCTGACCCAGGCCAGGCGGCTCCCACTGGCAGAGAAGCTGACCCCATGTACCCAGCCACCAGTGCCGCTGCCACCAAACTCTGACATCAGCTGACCAAAAGGCATCTTGCTGCCCCAGGGCGTACTGGCTGGCTTTTCATCCACTTCTTTAATGTAGGCAGAAAACACCCTGCAGTTTAAGGGGTAGGAAAGAAGGAAAAAGTAAATGAAAATATATGTATACAGAAACAGGCCATGGGCAGCTGCTGTAAGGTGTCTCAGAATGCAAAGAGATTGAGTCTTGAAAAGCAAAACGTGACAAAGTCACAGCCACAAATCTCTCAAGGCTTGGTTCTAAGGGCTGCCTACAGGCCCATATGAGTCTGGCAAAATGCACTCAATCCAAGGGTATACACGGAGACCTACGATATGTCTGGCCCTGCTCTAGGGGTGCACTTCTAGAAGCAATGAACACAAAAGCCCTTCCCTCCCGGAGTGCACGTTCTGTGGGAGGATCATGCTGCCCGCCCCTCCCCCCTTGCACATAGCTGACCTTGCTAAGTGAGCACGGCATTCTTTCCTGTCTACTTCACTATCATTTTCAACACAGTATTCCAGGAAGCCCACACAGCCAAACGGTAGGAGAGGAAACTATGTGCCACGCTGCCATAAACCAATGGCATTAACCCATTTAAAGAAAGGGACATCCAAAGAGGAAGCCAAAGGAGGCCAGTGAGGGAGTGGGCAGGCTCTCCCTCAGGCCATTATGGTGTCAGGGCTCCCTGTCCAGTCTTTGTGACAGGTTATTGTCTTGGGTGAAGGACGGTCTCCTTTACAGTCGGCTGTCAGCAGTCTCTCCCTCTTGAATTCCAGGAAGCTGTGTGTGAGGAGGTTTGGATGCTGAGTCAGGATAAGGGAGGGAGGAAGAGCAGCTGGGAATCCACCCCCCTCCAACGCTATTTCTACTTTGTAGAGCTTCTCTTCAAGAACCTCTGGACCTAAAGACTCCCTAACATGATCTGAGATACTTGCCCCGAAATGACAAGGACAGCAGCAGCTCTGGAAGAGGCAGAGCACCTCTGGAGAGGTGAAGGGCACAGTGAGTTCTCTCTGAATTAGAGGACATGACCTTGGAATTGCTGGACTCTACTTTTTTTTTTTTTCTGAATACCAGCTGACACATAGTATTACATGAGTTTCATGGTGATTCAACTTCTCTATACCTTACGCGATGCTCACCCCAAGTGTAGCTACCATCTGTCACCACACGATGCTCTTGCAGTGTCCCTATGTTACCTGTCATCCTCGAGACTTACTCCGTAACTGGAAGCCTGTACCTCCCACTCCCCTTCACCCATTTTACCCATCCCCTCACCCTCCTTCTTTCTGGCACCCATCAGTTTGTCCTCTATATTTATGAGTCTGAGAATCGCTGGGCCTTAAGTCAGCAAACGCTCTAGTCATCAGAGTCTGTGACAGAACGGGTGGCTCTCAGTCTCCAACTGGAGAGTGTGAACTGAAGAGACTCTTACCCATAGGACTACAATCCAAAGCTAAGTTTGTTTCTGGAAATTAGTATTATCAAAAAAATTGGGAACCTATTTTCATAACCAGATTCTTTAGACATCACCTGAGAATTCAGGTGGTATGGATCATTCCGTTCCATCCTTCAAGAGAGCTAGAATGACTCCGGGTAACACATCAGACAACAAAACTGAATTCTCCTAGAGAATGTCTACGCTGTTACATTGGTTCTTAAGTAGAACCAGTCTTTTTCCAGAGTGCCTTGATGCTACTGTATCCCCATTCCACAGTCAAATTCCCACACACATCTTAAAAAAACAAAAACCAAAACCAAACCATTGGATATTCTTGGATATAAATCACTAGGCAGGTTTTCTGGAAATTCTCCAAATAGCCTACTACAGAAAGATGCATACCATCTCCTAACCCACCATATTGTCAATGTGAAGTAACATTTATTTGCTTTTCTTTGGGCTAAGGGGAAGAAAGCCTTCTTGGTAAAGAATAACTGTAAAAAGCAATTACACTTTTTGATCCTTAAAGCTCTTAGCAAAGTGGCTGTGCTGCTTCTAGCCTCACGCTAAAAACAAATAAAAATCTTGAACTGAAAAGGAAGAACACAGTATAATAGCTCAGCAGAGCACTGTTTAGCTATGTTTTGTCCATCTTATAGCTTCAGCCCGGAATCTGCCGAGTCCCTGCCTGGGTTACGAAATGAGAAATAACACCGCCGTCTGAGGGCCACTATACCTCTGCTCCAGACATGATGTTCTGCCCGAGGAAAACGTCCCTGGCCCCACCCATGCAGCTCCCTCCTCCTGCACCTCCCGAATCTATTTCCTTCCCCCTCCGTGACTTCTGTACTTGCTTTCCTAGATCATAAGCTCCTTCTACCTGTGAGTCCTTCATGGTACCCAGCACTGTACCTTGCAATGAAAAGGAACCTGAGAAAAACTTGAAAGATGAGCAAGGAACAGATCAATTCTGTCTACCAGTTCTCATTTGTTCCCACCTGCATTTGAAATCACATGATCCTGCTGCCAGCAAAACATTGTTGGGATGCCAATCCAAGCTGAGGACCGTGGATCGAATTGGCTTTTTAATGTGCTTGCTTACCCACCTACAAAAGGAGAAAATCCACTTCAGTTTATCCACACATCGAGCAACAGTTCCCAAAGGGCCTAACAAAGGTGTGTCAGGTGACACCCATGTGGCGACCCAGTCCTCTGCCACAGAGAGGAACAAAGAGAGGAAGAAGAGCCATAAATAGTCCTTTCTGTTCTTTTAGGCTTTGATGTTCTTATCACTGAATCTTCCTGGCAACCAGGGGATCCCCGTGAGTAACTGTATTTATGGATTAACTCTGGATACTGGCCATGGAGTTTCAGATTACATGTGACTTTAACCTTTCAAATAAAATGTAGGGTTTGAAATTAAATTTTTATGACAAATACTCAGTGATCTGTTATTTCATTTTGGGTTAAGTATGACTTGTAAAATAGCTCAATTTCCTTTCTACGTCTCTGGGAAGCTGCATATTATTATTATTACTATTTTTTTTTCAGAGAAATCACAACCAAGAAAATAGCAACCTCTTGGAGGTTCTAATTCTCCTCCACTCGAAAAGTTTATTTATGTCTGAGATCAGTCATTATTCTGGCTTCACTAATTCAATTTCTGCCTCTAAACTGCTGCTTAAAAACCAATCATGTTCTGCTGTTTGAGATCCGAGAGACTTAATATCGAGCCGAACGCCCATTCTTGAATGCCAAATTACTTTTCCACAGAATCTTTCTCTTAGGAACCTATCTAAAAAATTTCCTTCTGAAAAATAGACTGTGTTCTGACTTGCTTGTAATGCAGTTATAGGCTTTTAGAGATTGTTGTATACACATCACTCCAGTGAAATGTTGTTCTATAGCTGAGAAACTCCCTTGAACACACAGCTTGTTCAAATGACAACCTTGTACTATAGAACAGCCCAATTTACCTATATTTGAGACTATTTTTCAATGAATAAAAATGTGAGCAGTCTCTGAGGTTGAACGTTACCCAGGAAGGAAAGTTTTTATCTATTCATTACAGTGAGTCTCCTAAAATGACTTCTGGCAGGCAACGTTTGGTTAGGCTTATTTTTACACATACTTGAAAGAAAAATGCAGGTCTTAAATTCATAATTTAATCTTGTTGCAAATTCAGATTTTCTTTCCAAAGAATCAGAATTTGTGAGATTTCACGAAATTTCACAAAACATAATATAATCCGTTCCTTCCACTGTTGCAGCAGAAAGCAACCAGTAACAGTGACACAAAGAGTAATGTGTACTCTGCTATTTTTAGGACAAATACAAACACTGCCAGATTCTTACTGAATGACAATTCCATGTTGAAGGCTATTTACCATCCTTTGTGAATGTGTGCCACATAGAGCAGAGTCGTTTTTTTATCAAATAAGTGAGAAGGATTAGTTAAAATAAGTTACTTAGCCATAAAATCAATCTCTGTATTTTGAGTGGCTCAGCTGTAAGTGATTTATATAGAAAGTACAACGGGCTGACTATAGTTCCAAGATCCCAGTCAATTTTTACTCCCAACAGTTTAAGTGAATAAAATATTATACTAAGACAGATTGGATCAGCCAATAAATTTTAAAGGAGTACATTGTTATCTGCAGGAATCTTATTTTAAGTAGACAGAGTTGTGAGGAAAAAAATTACTTCTCAGGTCATGCATGGGAATCTCTCAAGTTTATGAGTTACCTGTAAGAGTAACAAAACAATTTGGACAGCACAGAATGAGAACAGTAGCATCTTATAGAACCTACCAGTTAGGAAATCAGAAAATGGGGCCACAGGTCTGTAGCAACATGAGAAAGATGTGATTTGACTCAACGTGCATATAAGAAGGAAAACTGCTCAGAGGGACTAGAGATCTTCAGAGGAAAAAAAAAAAATCTCCAGATGAGGAAACACTGAAGTTATAGTTAAGCCTTCACCCAATGCTTCAAGAAGTCACCAAGAACACAGTGGTCCAAATGTGTAATTCCACAGAGAGAAATAAAAAATACTCAGATATTGCTCACCAGTCATTTTCAGACTCAAAGTAACAAACAGAAATGAGTCGTGCTCCACTTCCCACAGCAAATTTGTTCTCTAGCGGAGACCACTTGACAAAAGTCGCTGCACGATTAATTCTCAGGATCACCAGGGTTGGCTTCCAGACACCATCTTTCTGACTCCAGACATAGGCATTGCGGTCTGCCCCACAAGTGACGATGCGGTCACTCTTGGGAGCCCAGTCGATACCTGCAAGTGAGATGTGGTGTCATCTGCTTTGGCTGGCCAGTGACAAGAGACGTGAAACAGCCCGGTGGGCACTGCCATGGCAGGGCTAGAAGTGGGCTTGGTATCTTCCTCCCCAGCCCCAACCTTCCCCTCATCTATGGTCCCGATCATCACCTCAAACGCAAAGGCAAGGTTTCTCTGCAAAGTTCTGTAACTCGGGATCCTCCACGAGGCCAGGCAGAACAGAGCTGTTTTATGATTGTGGAGGTTACAAAATTAAACAGGGGCATTCTACCACCCATTCACAGGTTTCTAAAGTGATCTGGTGTAAAGACCTTTTCTTTTCTCATTATTAGATTTGGGGGGGTTTAAAAGTACCTTTATTCATTCATTAACAGACCTCACTCCATGATAACAACTGAAAATCTGCTACGTCACATCTAAACAAAACATCAGGGTAAATTCAAATAATCTTTAGTAGTGGGCGCCTGGGTGGCTCAGTTGGTTGGGCGACTGCCTTCAGCTCAGGTCATGATGCCAGGGTCCTGGGATTGAGCCCCACATCGGGCTCTCTGCTCAGCGGGAAGCCTGCTTTTCCCTCTCCCACTCCCCCTGCTTGTGTTCCCTCTCTCGCTGTCTCTATTAAATTAAAAAAAAAAAACAAAAACAGAACTTTAGTAAACGGAGGCAAAATACAAATTGTGACTCATTACATATTCTTATGAGGGTCACTGTCATTTAAACTAACCTCAATACCTTTTCTATATGCTACAGGTTCTAGAAAGGGTCCCTGAGTATTTTTGCATCCAAACTAGGAAGAAATCTAAATATGTATGGATTGTTTTTCATATTTGGCCAGACTTTTACTTATTTGATGGCTCTGTGAAGGATCCCAAAGTCAAGATCAGTTTGTTACATACCAAGAGTAAAATCTGCTATGGCTCAATCATTTTTTAGTTACATATTTCCTACAAATATAATTCCACATTGAACATACAGAAATGTTACTAATAAATTCTTTTTTTTTTTTTTAAGTAGGCTCCATGCCCAGCATGGAGCCCAACGTGGGGCTTGAACTCAAACCCTGAAGTCAAGACCTGAGCTGAGATCAAGAGTCAGACGTCCCAACTAATAAATTCTTATGATAGATATCTCCCTAAAAATTAATCATTATCATTCTTAACATAGGGAAAAAAGTAAGATGAATATAAATCAAAGTTTCCACTGGTCATAACTCACAGTGACTTTAGTTGTATGAAGAGTTCATTCATTCTTTCACCTACAGGAATAGTCTGCTCAATTATTTGCACCACTGAGGGGGAAAAATGTGGGAGTGTATTCTAAGTGATGTGTATTTTGATTGCAAGTCCATTCATTATAGGATAGTTTTGCAGCCCTCTTTATTTATTATTTTGAAAAGATTTATTTATTCGACAGAGACAAGAGAGCACAAGCAGGCAGAGCAGCAGGCAGAGGGAGAGGGAGAAGCAGACTCCCCGCTGAGCAGGGAGACCGACTCGGGGTTTGATCCCAGGGCTCTGGGATCATGACCAGAGCCAAAGGCAGACGCTTAACCAACTGAGCCACCCAGGCGCCCCAGATTTTAAGTTTTATTTTTAACTACAAAAGCAAAACCTACAAGAAACAAACACCACAAAGAGACATGTAGGAAGTAGAAAAAGCCCTGCTCCCATTCTTATGTCCATACATATTTCTCCCCCAAAATGATATTAATACTATGGCAAACATTTTCTTCCCCTTTTTATAAATTAGTACTGGTTATGCATTATTTCAGAACATTGATCTTATCATAATAATTTCCCCAAACATCCCACTGTTGAATGCTTTGTTAGTCTCCAATCATTTATTAAAATAGATAACATTGGAATAAACATTCAGGAACATACCTTTTTGTTCTGGTTAAAATGATCTCTCTATGATAAATTCCCCAAAGTGTGATGCAAAATATTGTTATTTTTATGAATGTCTCGTTTTCTTAACTTGATTACAAGCTTCTTGAAAATAAGAAGTCTTTGAAACTATTGTGGTGGGCAGACCCTAGGGAAGTCCCCTCCCTATAGGTGTGGGCAGGACCTGTGACTTGCTTCTAATCAATGGAATGGTGGAAAGGTGATTAGATGTACATGATTAGTGGACAAGATTACATTACATGAATCTTACAGCTGCTAGGAAATTCTACTCCCAACAACCTGAAGGAGTTTGGAAGTGGATTCTTCCCTGGTCAAGCCTCTGATGAGAACTCGTCCCTGGCTGATACCTTGATTACGACTTTCGAGACCCTAAGCAGGGGTCCCAGATAAGCCATGCCCAGACTCTTGACCCACAAAAACTGTGAGATAATAAATTTGCTTTGGTTAGGCTGCTAAGTTTGCAGTATTTGTTACACAGCAATAGAAAACAAATGTGTCCCTTAACATCCAGAATATTGCCTTATAAATGAGAAAGCTCAGTGATTTTGTGATGGTTTTGACAATCTAAAATTTCAGTCCTTATTCCATATGATCACCACTCTGATTAAACACATAATGTTATTAGAATTCCTGAGGTGCTTAAGCATGAGGCACTTTTAAAAATCAACAGGTCCATACTCTCTAAAAAAACAGAAGAGACCGTATTCTGCTTTGTTTTAATGCTTCTAGTCTAGCTACATCTTTCATTTGAGTATGGAAACTGTAAAAACAGTCACGGCTTCAAAGTATTTTAGATGGCATTAGCTTTTAACTTTTTTTATTTACTTTTGTTTTGTATTCTCTTATTTTAAAATTTTAAGTTTATTTAAATATTTGTTTAAACACTGTTTTAATTCCATCAGGCTTTAAAGGCAAAGGAACAGAATCAAGCATCTACCCTGTTTTTTCCATACTAAATATACATCCAGGTAGCCAAAGAGCAGATGAAGGGAAGTGTCTCTTACAAATGTAATCAGCTAACTAACAGAAAGGAAATGACAGATCTAGAATACCACCACCCTGCGGCCACTACTAAATGAATGGATATGGCCACTGACCACTGACAGTTGCTAGCATCATAGAACAATGACTAGACACCATGTGCATCCTTGACGAAAGAACTTCCTAACTCCCTACCTTCAACTAGCAATTTACAAGACAGATGAGGACAGAAAAATATGTAAAATACCATGGGTTTGCAATCAGTAAAATCCAGATTCTAGAAAACACTACAGGACAAACAACCTGATTTCTCAGTTTTCTTCACAAATAAATTAAAAAGTTAAAGAGAAGAAAGGGAACCTATAGACAAAAGACAAGAGATATATCAACTAATCACAACCATGTGTGCACCTTATTAAAGTCCCCATTAAAATTACTGTATCAGGTATTATTGAAAAGAAGAGTCCTTCTCTTTTAGAGACACAAACTGAAATACGAAATGATACAGGGTCTGGCATGTACTTCCAAACTATACAAGGAGGAAATGAGTTGAAAACAAGGTTGGCTGTGAGGTGGTAACTGCTGAATCTGGGTGATGATGGGTATACAGGGGCTCACTACATTATTCTTCCTTTTTTATGTTACCTGTTTAAAACTGTCCATAGTAAATTTTTCTTTTAAAGAGAATGATCACTTTAACACACAAAAAAAGAAACTCACAGAAACAAACACCAGGACTCTGATTTCTCTTTGATGTTAACCATACTCTTTTTCTCTGTAGTACTGACTGGTCTTTTCTTCTAGAAAACTTGAGAGGATTTCTTTCTTTTTTTTCTGTAGTTACTATCTTTATGAGAAAATATGTTTGATCCTTGGTCTCTTGCCACAGAGTTATATTTAGATTTTTCCAACAAAAGTTTTTTCAGATCTAAAAAAAAATGTCATTTGAACATTTGAATGAAAACAGGCCCAAGTTCAAAGGGTTCCAAAAGAGAAGCAGACGAGAAGAAGAACATAACTAAGTATTTCACTTTTTTGGCTATTTCTGTGGTCTTTCACCTTAGCCCTTTCTCACTTAGAAGTATTTCCTAATGCTAAAATTCCAATTTAAAGTATGAATGTTCTTATTTTTAGGCCACAAGGCCACTGGCAAAGGAATGTAAAGAAAATGGGCCAAACCTAATAGAAATAAGGTCATGGGAAAGCAATAGCAACAAAAATAGAAATTATAAATTATGCCTTTCGTGCTAGCTCAGGAATATGATCAGTTGGCTCCTGATGCTCACTAGCATCACATACAAATCACCGGCAAAAACAAGAAGGGATGGTCATGAGTTTTTGCTGGGGAATACAATGGAAAGGGTGCAGAAGGTCAAAACATGCTGTTTTTCTCTGGTTGGGGGGAAGGATATCTTTAAGCTAATCAGTACGTTGGAGGACTAGAGGCAATTTCAGGGTCACAATTAAAAAAAAAAATTCATTATCAGTCACTTTGCTGCCCACTTAAGAGCAAATGTCATTGTGAAGAGAGGGAAAATCCAAGATTGCAGTGAAAAATTTGTAATTGAAAAGTTATGGAGAGGGACGCCTGGGTGGCTCAGTCATTAAGCGCCAGGGTCCTGGGATCGAGCCCCATATCGGGCTCCCTGCTCAGAGGGAAGCCTGCTTCTCCCTCTCCCACTCCCCCTGCTTGTGTTCCCTCTCTCGCTGTTGTCTCTCTCTGTCAAATAAATAAAATCTTAAAAAAAATAAAAAGAAACGTTATGGAGAATAAGTTCTGACGTGCTTGACCAAACTGTTAAAAGCAAGAGGCTGAATCAACTCTGCCAGAAAATGGATAAAGAAAAAATTATAGTAGTAAGGATCAAGGAACAAGAATTCTTTCTGAACACAGCAGTAAGTGAATATATTCTTTTAAAAATAGCCAGATACCACCTCACAAAAAAGCAATTCATTCTCTTGAAATCTGGTATCAGGATTTGGTTCACTGAATTCTGAAAACCATTAGAGAAATTCTCCATTTTTATCTTACTCCTCCTCCTCCCTTATTTGATACCTGCTTAATGAAACTCAGCATCACTCTGCTTGCCACCTTTATCCATCTATTCATCGACGGTTTTTGGCAAAGATGAAAGCTCATGTACACTCAGGAACCCGCCTCAGAGCCAATGCTTTAAGATCCTGTCTTCTATGAGTCAACAAGAAAAGGATAAAAACTCAATGGAAAACTGATCAGGAGTAATGAACAGTAAAGTCTGAGAAAGAAATCCAGCATGGCTAATAAACATCAGAAAATATGCTCAGCCTTTTTATTATGCAGGAAAATGCAATTTCTAGAGACACAACCTTTCACTCATCAGACCCTCTGATCGTATCAAGTATGTGTCGGATGGGGGAAGATAAGCACCCCCATACCGGGGGGGCCAGGATGAAGGCAGTATGACCATGCCTAGCAAAGCTGAGCATGTGCACACCCCAGCAATACGAGTCTGCCATAAACAAACATTCACGCATGTACAAAGAGACCTGCGCAGGGAGGCTCGATCTAGCACTTCACTATCAGTTAAAACTGCAAACAACCTAAACGTCCTTCAGTGGAGAGAAGAGTAAATAAACAAGGTATGAATTGTTAAATAGTGGTTAAAAGGAATAAACCTGATCAACACATAACTCAGGAACAACGTGAAATGCAAAAGCAAGCTGGAGATGCACAACAGGATGCCATTTATGTAGCACTTAAATATCCCAGCCCCAAGTGCTAAAGATCGCTTACGAGTGTGTATACGTGTATGTCCAAGTATTAAAAATGAACTGGGACAATGTCACACCAAATTACAGACTGCTTCTGGGGCATGGGAATAGGACTGGCAGTGGGAGGGGACCGTACTGTTATCCTGATTAATACTCATTATTAAAGCTCTGTTTTTGGGGCGCCTGGGTGGCTCAGTCATTAAGCGTCTGCCTTCAGCTCAGGTCATGATCCCAGGGTCCTGGGATTGAGCCCTGCATCGGGCTCCCTCCTCTGCAGGAAGCCTGCTTCTCCCTCTCCCTCCCCTGCTGCTTGTGTTCCCTCTCTTGCTGTCTCTCTCTCTGTCAAATAAATAAAAATTAAAAAATCTTAAAAAAAAAAAGCTGTTTTCTCAGTATTCTGGCACAGTTGATAATTCTAGGTGGTGGCAATGTGGGTGTTTGTTACGTTACTCTTTGTCCTTTTCAGTATTTTGGAATGTCTTCCTCGCCCCACGAACAACACACAGAAAGCTTTTGGAAGACACTGTGTCCGCTCACTTGGGAACACAGTATGGCTTATGTTTTCCCACAGCTGACACGCTAGATGTCTAGTTTTCACTTTCTCATCTCGTCACCTCATCTAGGCTCTTCACTCCTCAGAGTAGGATCAGTGTTTTCCATACACTAGTGGAGTGCGGTGAACCAGCTGGGCCAAAAGAAGCACTTAAAAACTGAGATCACTATGATTATTTTCTCAAGTTTTCTAAAGAAAACTCAGTAAACGCTGCGCGACTTTAAATATTAAGGCAGACTTACTTTATCAGGCTCTTTATTTAATGGAAGGGTGCTCAATTTGCAAGTATCATCTTCCTTTACCTGTAATGTGTCCGTTGTGCTCCTTGAGTTCATGAGCTTTCACCCACTGGCTCCCGTTCTTCTTATAGATGTGGACTTCGTGATTATTGGGGCTAAGAGCAATCTCTGGAGGAAAAAAGTCAACAGTTAACACCTAAACTTGAAATTGTCACCAAAACAGAGATATGTTAGTTTTTTTTTTCTTCAAAGATTTTATTTATTTGTCAGAGAGAGAACAGGCGCGCAGAAATGGGGAGTGGCAGGCAGAGGGAAAAGCAGGCTCCCTGCTGAGCAAGGAGGGGGATGTGGGACTCAATCCCAGGACCAGGGGATCATGACCTGAGCCGAAGGCAGAGGCTTAACCGACTGAGCCACCCTGACGTCCCTGTTTTGTTTTGTTTTTTAGATTTTATTTATTTAAGTAATCTCTACACCCAACATCGAACTCACAACCCCAAACTCAAAAGTCGCATGCTCCACCAAAATGAGCCAGCAAGGCATGCCAACAGTTGGCATTTTATTTTATTTTTTTTAAAGACTTTATTTATTTATTTGACAGAGACACAGTGAGAGAGGGAACACAAGCAGGGGGAGTGGGAGAGGGAGAAGCAGGCTTCCTGCAGAGTGGGGAGCCCAATGCGGGGCTCAATCCCAGGACCCCGAGATCATGACCTGAGCCAAAGGCAGACGCTTAACGACTGAGCCACCCAGGCGCCCAACAGTTGGCATTTTAAAAATAGGTTCAAGGAAGGAGTAAGAAATCTGTTTTAAAAATATGGTTCCCAAGATTTACCCCTGAAAATTTCCTCTTATTATTTTTACCTCTACTTGGATCCCATATTTTAAAAAATGTTTTGTAGAAAAACTGAATTTAAAAATTCATTTTAGGGTGCCTGGGTAGCTGAGTTGGTTAAGGGTCTGCCTTTGGCTCGGGTCATAATCCCAGAGTCCTGGGATCGAGTCCCACATCAGGCTCCCTGCTCAGTGAGGAGTCTGCCTCTCCCTATATCTCTCCCCCCTGCTCATGATCTCTCTCTCTCAAATAAATAAAACCTTTAAAAAAAATAAAAATTCATTTTATTAGAGACATATACAACTATTTTTTTTAAAGATCTTATTTACTTATTTGAGAGAGAGAGAGAGAGAGAGAGTGAGAGAGAGAGCCCAAGAGGGGGTAGGGTTAGAGGGAGAAGCAGACTCCCTACTGAGCAGGGAGCCCGATGGGGGACTCGATCCCGGGACTCTGGGATCATGACCTGAGCCAAAGGTAGTCGCTTAACCAACTGAGCCACCCAGGCACCCGAGACATATACAACTATTAAGTAAAGATTCTAATCAGTAAGAATTAAACAATGTTATCATACTTTGCTGATAAAATTTTAGCCCATAGTAAAAATATTTGACATTTTAATTCACCTGTCCAACATTATTAGCAACAAATATTTACTTTGTTAGAGTTTCTGAAACACTGAAAATAGCTCAAACATTCTCATTACTGCTATCATGCACCCAGCTTGGAACCATCGATCTACTAAAAAAAACAAAAACAAAAAACAAAAAACCCCCAAACTTGATTCTGGTCATTAAATACATCAAAGCTTTCCTTTACAATAAAGCCAATATGAATCACAAAGTAAAATTCTGTTTTCAAGAGAAATCTCTCAGACCAATTTGAAATATTAAGAATATACATATATATGATAAATTTCTTTTGAATTTATATTGATTTTTCACTCTTTCTAGTTCATCCATTAAAAAAAACCCCAACACACTAATTTTTTTTTTTAAGATTTTATTTATTGGAGAGAGAGAGAGACTGTGAGAGATAAGGAGCATGCACATGAGCAGGGGGGAGGGGCAGAAGGAGGGAGAAGCAAGACTCCCTGGTGAGCAGGGAGCCTGATGTGGGACTCAATCCCAGGACCCTGGGATCATGACCTGAGCGGAAGGCAGTCGCTTAACCATCTGAACCACTCAGATACCCAAAACACTGATTTCTTATAATTAAAATTAGGATCTATGATTCAGATTTTAGATCATTTACTAGTCCTACCCCTTCTATTATATTTCTTTTCCTTTCCCTCCTTAGGAAAGTTACACTTGTTTTACAGATGAAACTGTGGAACCAGATAAATATATCTAGCTCTAAAATCCTAAGACTTTAAGTACTTTCTCAAAACCAGTTATATGTATTTCTCTAAATTTCTAAGATGCTTCAAAAGCCAAATCTAAAGCTGAAAAATGCTATAAATTTCAAATTATAATAACAAAACTGTCTTAATATTTATCAAGTTTATCAAGTAGTTTAAATGAGAACAATGATAACTTTCTACTAAAAATAATTGGAAATACTCCAAAAACCCATTTTTACATGGGAAAGTAGAGACAGAGGACATAGGAAACTCAGCTATGAAACTGTGAAATGATCACAAAACAGAAGCTCTAGATTCTCTGGCATGTTACATATTAGATTGAAAGATCAAAATCTCAGCTGGCTTCTTTGCAGAAATTAATAAGTTGACCCTTAAATTCATACAGAAATGCAAGGGACCTAGAAGAGCCAGAAGAATCTTGAGAAAGAGGTACAAAGTTGGAACTCACATTTCTCAATTTCAAAACTTACTACAAAGCTACAGTAACCAAGACAGTGTGGTCCTGGCATTAGGATAGACATAAAGATCAATGAAACAGAATTGAGAGTCCAATAACCTTCACATTTATAGTCAGCTGATTATTGACAAGGGTACCAAGACAGTTCATTAAGGAGAGAATAGTCTTCAACAAATGGTGTTCGGACAACTGGAGAGCCACATGCAAAAGGATGAATTTGGGCTCTCTACCTCACACCTTATACAAAAAATTAATTCGAAATGGATGCAAGATGTAAATATAAGAGCTAAAACTGTAAGACTCTTAGAAGAAAACATAGGTATACATCTTTGTGACCTTGAATTAAATGGTTTCTTAGATACAACAGCAAATGCATAGCAGCAAAAGAAAAAAATAAACTGGACTTTTTCAAAACTAAAAACTTTTGTGCTTCGGAGGACATCATCAAGAAAGTGAAAAGACACCCCACAGAATGGGAGATTTTGTAAATTATATATTGTGTAAGGGACTTATATCCAACTCTTATCACTCAACGATAAACAGACAACCTAATTTTAAAAATAGGCAAAGGATCTGAATAGACACTTTTCCAAAGAAAATATATAAATAGCCAATAAACATTTGAAAAGATGCTCAACATCATTAGTCATCAACAGGGAAATGCAAATCAAAACAACGAGATACTACTTTATACCTACTAGAATACAGTGGGTACAGGGCTATAACAAAAAAGACAGATAATAATAAGTGTTGACAAGGACACAGAGAAACTGGAACCTTCATACACTACTAGTGAGAAAGTAAAATGGCACAGCCATTTTGGAAGACAGTCTGGCAGCTCCCCAAAACGTTCAACATAGTTACTATATGACCCAGAAATTCAAGTCCTAGGTATAAACTCAGGGAACTGAAAACATATGCCCACATAAAAACTGGTATGTGAATGTTCACAGCAGTATTCGTAATAGCCAAAAAGTGGCAACAACCCAAATGTCCACCAACTGATGAATAAACTGATGGAAATATGGTATGTCTAGGGGGCGCCTGGGTGGCTCAGCAGGTTGGGCATCTGGCTTTTGATTTCAGCTCATGTCATGATCTCGGGGTTGTGAGGAAGGAAGAGGGAGAAGCAGACTCCCCACTGAGCAGGGAGTCCGATACAGGGCTCGATCCCAGGACCCTAGGATCATGACCCGAGCCAAAGGCAGATGCTTAACTGACTGAGCCACCTAGGCACCTCCAAAAAGCTTTATTTTAAAGAAGATAGTGAAGATAATTTAATTTTTAAAAATAACTCATGGGCACACTACTACACTTCTGTCTGTTCTTAGGGGTTTTTTTGGCCTCCCTCTTACATACTCTGTCACTTTGCTTGTTGTACTGTGCCTACTTCTAAGAGTCTTTTCCATCCCTTTCTAGTTGGTTGGAGCTAGAAAACTAGAAACTCAAGCTTATTACAATAATATAGTAAATAGTAGCTAATACTGCTCTTAGCACATCAGGAGTAAACTATACGTCTCTGTAAGAGCTTATTTCTAGGTCTTAGTATTCTGACTAAATATTGGATGACTGTGACATTACTACATAACCATTTCAGACACTGGGCTCTTAAGGCAATGAAAGATGCCTCCGATATAAACCATTCTCCAACTCGTACTGTAGACAAAGATATGGACACAGAGCCAGAAGGCTTAGATGCTAGCAATGGCTCTAACATTAACCACTGGAAAGTCCTTCCACTGGCAACTCTAGGCCTTGGTTTCTCTTATCTATAAACCAAACAACTGACCTAGTTTCCTTTCGAATCCATGGCCATGCCCTTTTCACATGTAACACAAGTATGTGATCCCTAAAAAAGTGCTTACGTATAAAAATATCAAAGGCACCAAAATAAAGGAGTAAAATTAACAGCACACTTACGGGTACGATCCCTGTTCCAGGCATGACAGGTGATTGGCTCTAGTAAAAACTGATGCAGGGACATTATTCTTAGTGTTTTCAAAGGATAGAAAGCTGTAATAAACAACAGAAAAAAGCATTTAAAATGGCAGGCAACACATATTTAAGTTGTCTGGGGATCCCAAAGTGTTTGGGGATAAATAATACAGTACTGCCCCATTAAAAAATCAATCTCAATGTCAAAACTTAATCATTTAAATACAACAAGCATTGTAACCACCAGTGTATACTTTATTCTGTCAAGGGTCATCAAGGGACTCTAAAACCATGGGTTAAAGATTGTTGGGGTAAAGGATATTCACACAGTCTCAAATTATCATCCCACAGATTATTTACTAATTTCAAAGAGAGAAAAATGAGCCTTAACAACAAAAAAAATCTGGCAGTCACCATCTTAACCAAGGGATCAAACTATTATTGAAAAGACTGGAACAATCTACTCTGATGGGCTTCCTGATGGGAGGAAACACAAAGTACACATCATCACTTAAAAATACCACTTGGGGCGCCTATAGGTGGGTCAGTCGTTAAGCATCTGCCTTTGGCTCAGGTCATGGTCCCAGGGTGCTGGGATTGAGCCCCGCATCAGGCTCCCTGCTCTGTGGGAAGCCTGCTTCTCCCTCTCCCACTCCCCTTGCTTGTGTTCCCTCTCTTGTTGTGTCTCTGTTAAATAAATACACAAAATTATAAAAAAAAAAAATAGTGACCACTTATCATCCAGACCAGAAAATGTTTAAGAAAGCAAAAAGGGGCATTATTAATTATGTTATGACAACAGGTGACAGGACTATCCTGGAGAAACCTGGTAATATGGCCAACCCACCTATCAAGTATTTCTGCCAAACATATTTGCTCTAAATCCAATCAAGACCCAGACCTACTTTCCAGTTTAGATGAAATAAAGGGAGGTGGAATTAGTCAAATAACACAAAGGGGAAATAAACAGTTCAAACCAGAATATATGCCATCCTATAAAACAACTGGCCTGTACTATTCATTAAGAGGCAATGGGCGTGAAGTGGACTGTTCTAATTCAACAAATGAAACTTGATTGTAACCTATATTTTTAAAAATAGCCATATAGGACATATTTTGTACAATAAAGAAAATATGAATTTATACTACATATTACATAACAATATGAAGTTATTTTCAATATCCTAACTATAACTGTTTGCCATTAGATAGGAGCACGATCTAACCCTTAGGAGATAAAGATGATGAAGCGTTCAGGGATGAAGTGTCATGATGTCTTCTGTAATTTACTTTCAATAGTTCAGGACAAGTAGATATATAAAGAGTAAATGTGGCAAAATGTTAACAGCTGGTAAATCTACAAAAGGAGTAAACTATACAGGTGTTTGTTACATTGCTCTTTAAACTTTCTACCGAAAATGAAAAGCAGGAATCTGTGACACACCATTAAATTCAAAGTCAAATAAAATTCTCTATTTCATAGATACCCACATCTAGATCCACCAAAGAGGCAACCATTACCTGAAATAAGAGAAATTTTTTAAAAAAGCAGCCAGATCCTCCTTCCCGTTATCATTTCTAAGAGGCCCTCACACAACACTCTGAAGTTCAGTACAAGTCTTTAACCTAGGGTGGAGACTGAAATGTAATTCAGGAATTCTGATGTAAATAGAAAATGAGTGGAAAGGACAGCAGAAGGTTATGAAGTGAACAACTGAAGTTCAGCAGAGAAAGCAGAGATCAATCTCAGTGGAAAGCAGAAGAAATGTCTCTGCTAACGGTTGTAAAGGAATCCAAAGGTCAAAAAGAGATTAAGCACACCCTTAAATAAAACATAGGATATCTTGAACTGGCAGAGAAATGTCAGTGTTTCAAATTCACTATTCTAAAGTGAAGATATTTATTTAGGTCACTTTTTTTATTCTTACATATTCTAGAAAGCAAACTGCAACTTACAAGTAAAGAAAAAGCCTCTAACTGGATTAAAAAAAAATGTTTACATGAATTCAAATGAGGCTGCTTAATGTGTTTTTTATTTATTTTTTATTTTTTTTATTTTTTAAGATTTTATTTATTTATTTGACAGAGAGAGACAGTGAGAGGGAACACAGGCAGGGGGAGTGGGAGAAGGAGAAGCAGGCTTCCCGCAGAGCAGGGAGCCCGATATGGAGCTCAATCCCAGGACCCTGGGATCATGACCTGAGCCGAAGGCAGATGCCTAACGGCTGAGCCACCCAGGCACCCCTTAATGTGTTTTTTAAAACAACGTCCAGATGCTCACTGCATGATTCTCTCTCATATCTGATATCAGATGCTTACCCGTCACAACAGGTTTTACTCATAGTTACTCAAAATAACACACTGTGTCACAAATATCTCCTTAATTAAAAGCAATTTAGTTCAAAAGCTGTATTTTATAAGCTCATTTGTTAATTAAAACAAAACTGGCCTACAAATAATTCAATGTGACTACATGCAATAAAAGCACACATTACATGTATAGTTAAAAAAGAACAGTTGCAAAGACTTTCTCATTCTTTAACTCAGTTTTTTAAGAAAACTTAATTTATTTTTAAGTAATCTCTACACCCATAGTGGGGCTTGAACTTACAATGCCGAGATCAAGAATTGCATGCTCCACTGACTGAGCCAGCCATGCATCCCTCAACTCAGTTTTTTAAGCAAAGTAGCAAAGCTTTCAAAAGAGGTAAACATTTACATAATGGCATAATTACTCCTAAAATTGCATTTCTAAATTTGTTATATCATTCAAGTTCCATATTTGGACATACACTCAGACCTGTACTTCATTTATAATCATGTGGATATTTTAAGTCTGTAGAGTAAGACAACACTCATGTTTGTCAAATTTATAAGGTACCCAGTAAACACAGTCTGTATTCATCAAACTCAGTGAGTGCAGGAGAGCAACAGCTGGAATCTGTACCAAGAAAAAGATACCTCCTGACACAGCATGATAATTCTAATTCTAAACTGTGATTAATATTTAAGTGAAACCTGAAAACTTTTGTCTTAATGAGAGTAGACAGGAGAAAAACGGATAGACAAGGCAGTGATACGAAATTTGACAAGCTTCTGATAAGCTTTTACTATACAGAGCTGAAAGGAAAAATGACTTATAATGATTTATAGTATGATTCCAAGCACTCCCCCTACAACCCAACTCCTTTTTTTACCTACCGCTTTGAATACAGTCATTCTGATGTTTGGTTGCCATGGACTCTGGAGCCAAGGGGACCTGGGTTTGAACCTTGGCTGGGTCACATACTAGCTATGAGACCCAGGGCAGGTCACTTAACAATACAAAATCTCATTTTTTAAAAATACGTAAAATGGACATGTCACTGACAACCCAAGGCTGTAGGTATGAGGATTAAATGAGGTAACATGTGAAAACATGTAGTACAAAGCCTAGCCCAAAAGAGATGCTGAATTAGTTCCCTTTCTTCCTTTGACCCAAGGCTTTTGAACCATCTCTAAAAGCACACACTGGTTATTATCCTCTGAACTTGGAAATGTCTACATATATTTTGAATTCTTGGCCCTGAAGCCTGAAAGTATTTGTACAGTAACGATGTCAGTTCCCTGTTTAGGGTCAGTTTCCAACACTGTGATTCACAGTTAGAAACTGCTCTCATTACCCAACCCAGCAATCCCAGGTACTCCAACAAGGTCACCACACCCTCCACAAGGTTCTGAGACAAGGTTTCAATGCCAGGCACCAGCCTTACCAGCAGATCATTTTAAACTTCTTTATGCAGAATTTGTTTCAGCATAGGATTAGTTAACTAGATCAAAATACTGCCACTCTTCCTCCAAGCAAGTGTTTTATTTTTCCAAGATAATCCCCTCCTTTAACTGTGATAAGTAGATGAAGTAACCTTGGAAGGTTTCCGAATACTCTCTGGTAGGAAGCAGCCAGTTACATCCACTTCCTAAAAGGGCAAAAACACCCTCCAGACTGATACCCTCTCCTTTTTTCCTTAGATACCTGAGAAACCCAGGACGTACCTGAAACCAAAAGGTGAGATAAAATTGATTTAAAAAAGGGCAGAACTAGGATAACTTCGGTAATTTAGAAAATGAATGGAGGTAGATAAAAAGTAGATTAGCATTTCCTTCAAGTTCCAGAGCTGCATATGAGAACAGATGGCTTTCTCATCAAAGACTCTAAGCTACAATTTATTAAGTGTCTACCATGTTCCCAGAAGTGTAGTTAAGTACAGGGATAGGGCCAGAAACATAAATACATCTGACACTTTCCTGGTCCTCAAGTCTGGTCGGAGGTGGGGGCGGGGGAGGGTAGGAAAGGAAGGGAAGACGATATGATATGCACAGAACGCCCAAACAGTAGGAATAACGAGTATGTATTCAGCACCTACTCTGGGCCAGGTACTAGTCTGGACAATTAATGCAAATAAACTCACTTCCTCCAAATAGGTAAATAAATAAATAAGTCACGATAATAATAATAAAAGCCCTAAGAACATTCCTACTGCAGACGGGGGAAACAGGGACTCAGAGATGCAATCTTCACCACTAAGTGGTGGCGCCGGGACTGGAACATGGGCAGTCCCACTGCAGGGGCTGGAACGTGAAAGGGGCTGCATAAAAGGCTCCGCGGAGCGAGCAGGGCCGGGTGTGTGCAATAACTGACTTAAGAGAAGGCGGCACTCGAGCGGAGGGAAGCTTAAAGAACTCGGGGGAGGGTCTTTCTGCAGTTCGGGCGCCCCCCCCCCACCGGAGCTGAAAGATTGAGGGCTGCCCTAGACAGGAGCGGGACATTCCAGGGTCGCCCACCGCGCGCAGTACCTATTCTAGATGCTAAAGAAACGTTCCGTCGTGACGCTCGGCTAGGAGGAAGGTCATCTCATTTACTACAGTTTCACAGATTGTGATGAATGCCCGCCGTAGAGGAGCGAACAGGGCTACGGAAGCGCAGGTAAAGGAGCCGCTCATTCTGGCACTGAAGGGGGCTCGGAGCTGGGAAATCCCTAGAGAAGCGATCTGTGGGGGCGCCTGGGTGGCTCGGTTGGTTAAGCGACTGCCTTCGGCTCAGGTCATGATCCTGGAGTCCCGGGATCGAGTCCCGCATCGGGCTCCCTGCTCGGCGGGGAGTCTGCTTCTCCCTCTGACCCTCTTCCCTCCCGTGCTCTCTCCCGTGCTCTCTCTCGTGCTCTCTCTCATTCTCCCTCTCTCAAATAAATAAAATCTTAAAAAAAAAAAAAAAGAAAGAAGCGATCTGTGCGTGTGGGAACCCCAGGGGCTCGGCGGGCCCCACGGAGACTGGGGATCCCCGCCCCCTCCGGAGGCCGGGCCAGGAGACCCGGCCCGCCCCTCAGCCCCTGGGCCCCGCGGCCTAAGCCCCCGCCTCACCGCCCCCGCGGGTTCAAGTCCGGTGCGAGGCCGAGCCAGTGCAGGCCGACAGGGCCAGGAGCTCGCCCTGCTGTCCCTTACCTGGGATCGGGGCAGTGCGGACCGGCTCGGAGCGGAGAATTCGCGGACTCTGGTCAGTCGACGCGAACAGGCTCCGGCGGACGCGGGTGGAGGACCGAGGCCCAGAGGGAGCGGCTGACAGATCCCGGAAATGGCCACGGCGCCTGCGCGGGGCGGCCGCGCGGTGGTCTGCGCACGCGCCTAGTTTGGGCGCGCGGCCGGGTCCGGCGCGGGTGCGGTGGGGGAGGGTCCGGCGTCCGAGGGGCCCTTTGCGAGGGGCGTCCTACACCGCCTCCAAGGTGGTGGCGAAGCGGCGTGGAGGGCTTCATCTTTTTCTAAATAAAGTTTTCTCAGACTCGTGGATCGTTGTGTGGAGCGTTGACGCTTTCACAAGTGCTTTTGTCAGGAAATGAATTAGCGAGGGCCGAGGCCTTTTAGAGCGAGCCACAGGGACCCGACGAACGAAACGTTTTTCTCTCTTCAGAGAGAAGGTTCCCTCTTTTTTTTTAATTTTTATTTTAATTTTTTATTGTTATGTTAATCACCATACATCACATCATTAGTTTTTGATGTAGTGTTCCATGACTCATTGTTTGTGCATAACACCCAGTGCTCCACGCAGACTGTGCCCTCTTTAATACCCATCACCAGGCTAACCCATCCCCCCACCCCCCTCCCCTCTAGAACCCTCAGTTTGTTTTTCAGAGTCCATCATCTCTCATGGTTCCTCTCCCCCTCTGACTTACTCCCCGTCATTCTTCCCCTCCTGCTATCTTCTTCTTCTTTTTTTCTTAACATATCTTGCATTATTTGTTTCAGAAGTACAGGTCTGTGATTCAACAGTCTTGCACAATTCACAGCGCTCACCATAGCACATACCCTCCCCAATGTCTATCACCCAGCCACCCCATCCCTCCCACACCCCACCACTCCAGCAACCCTCAGTTTGTTTCCTGAGGTTAAAAGTTCCTCATATCAGTGAGGTCATATGATACATGTCTTTCTCTGATTGACTTATTTCACTCAGCCTAACACCCTCCAGTTCCATCCACGTCGTTGCAAATGGCAAGATCTCATTCCTTTGGATGGCTGCATAATATTCCATTGTGTATATATACCACCTCTTCTTTATCCATTCATCTGTCGATGGACATCTTGGCTCTTTCCACAGTTTGGCTATTGTGGACATTGCTGCGATAAACATCGGGGTGCATGTACCCCCTCGGGTCCCTACATTTGTATCTTTGTGGTAAATACCCAGTAGTGCAATTGCTGGATCGTAGGGTAGCTCTATTTTCAACTGTTTGAGGAACCTCCATATTGTTTTCCAGAGTGGTTGCACCAGCTTGCATCCACAAGAAGGTTCCCTCTTAAGAGCCAGTTTCTCTGTGGAAAGCCTCTGAGGCCCTCCCCGAGGAACCTTCTTGACCTTTCTTCCGTCGGAATCACTTGTTCCCTGCTCCCAAAATGGCACTACAGGACAGAGGAGTTGGGGGAATTCATCACCCCCCCAAACACGTGGAGACAGTGCTTGCTCTACAGATGCGGCTTCTACAAAATGCCCCGAACCCCACTTCGAGCTAGACTTGGCGCCCTTGAACCCATAGAAATCCTGGAGCAGCCCTCCTTTCGTCGGGGCCACTGGAGGTCACCAACAGAGTGCTTCGGCCGGCTTATGAGTTTGACCCCAATGCTTGCCCAGAAGGTGGTGTTCACAAAAGTGAAGTTGTCACATTCCTGATTTCAGAGCCACACTGTTTTGTAGGGTTAGTTAATCCAGCTGTCCAAGAAGCACTAATGCACTGGAAGGAAATTGGTTTTATTTTGCCCTATGGCTACAAAGTCTTTGGTCCTAGGGAGATGGAGGACAGATTGAGAGAGCAGAACGATCATTTTAAATTAATTACCTCCCTCCCAGTGACAACATCTTGGCCCAGGAAGGACAGCACACATGGAAGCAAGGATTCCTCACGTGTCTGCAAGCTACATGAACTAATCCAGAAGTATGTAGAGTTGGTATCCAGGGTCAAAATACCAACTGTTTTGTTTAGATCCCATCTCTTTACAAAAGACAGTTCCTTCTTTGAAGGAGTTTATAATACGAATAGATGAGAATAACATACAAATCAATAGACCTTGGTGAAGGTGTTGATAGAAGTTGGTGCCAGGGCTGGCCTCCTGATACCTGGTCCAGAACATTTACCATTATCACCTCATGCCCTGGTTATACCAGCCATTGGAGTTCCAAGCAGGGTGAGTTATTTTTAATGTTTGTTTTTTTACATGCATAATCACACTGACCTAGTATGCCAAATGAGGATTCTCTTTTAAAAAAACTAGTACCAGGAAAGGTGGTACTTAGAAATGGGAGGAAGTGAAGGGTTGGATAATGTCATGGAATGATTTTGTTTGCTTTATTGATTCAATTGGAATAGGAACAGGATTGAATTGGAAATTGGTCAAACGTCAAGTCATCAAGTGTTTAATGCGTGTTCACCAAGTGCCAAGATTTGTGTTAAGCATTTCAATAGATGTACAGAAGAGTTGGGTAAGATCTTTCTGTCCTCAAGGAGCCCAGAAGCTAGGATGAGATCAGTTCACACATAATTTTAAATACAAGGAAATACACAATGCCTTCAACCTGGAAGATCCTACTTAATATTTGTTGAATGAAACTATGAATGAGTGAAATAAACAATCTGGGATTTCAAAGAACACAGAGGTTACGACCAGTTGTGAGTGGGAGGAAGGGCTTATATCAGGAAAGTACCCAATCATAGGTCAGAAGGATTACATGTTTGCAAAGGCCTAAGGATTCCCATCTGCTCAGGAGGGCCTCGATTTAGTATCTGGAATGTGGTTTGGAGGGTAAAAAGGCTGGTTCTCCCTTGAACCCCAGCTGAACAACAGGGAACCCTACTGCCGGTCGGCCTCCATTTTGTTGTTTTTTCTTTTTAAAAACATTTTAAAAGTAATCTCTACACCCAATGTGGGGTTCAAACGGATGACCCCTGAGATCAAGAGTCACAATCTCTACCAGTCGAGCCAGCCAGATTCCCCTCTGCCTCTATTTTGTGTTTTACATGGGTTAATGCCTACCACCTACTCACCACAAAGACTGTTGGAAATATTTATTGACTCAATGCCTATAAAAGCTGTAAGCAAACAAAGGACAAAAACATAAATGCATACTCTGTTAATGCTTAATAATGCTTATTGCCCACTCCTTTAGATATTGTCCTATATGGTTCCAAGGAGGGAAAGTTTCCTATGGAAAGGATCTTGTACCATTCAGTACAGAGGACTAAAAAATGCATGGAAATTTTTGCACTCTAGGCTGCTTTACCCAGTTCGTTTCCATAGCACAGAGGTGGGACCACTTAGTTTGTGGGGTGTCTAGAGGCATAAGGTAGTCTCAGATGGTATATAAATACCCTACTATCACAGATATCGTTCTTATAAGACAAACACATGAGCAAACTTATGAATACCACGTATTGTTTTCCTAATTTGGTAAGTAAAATCTGTAGTTCACTAACCTGTAAGTCTGGAGGCCACGGCCACTTACACATTTTGCTTCTGACGCCTTTTCCGTGTTAGGCAAACTTAGGTTATTTTAATAGAAAGATAATATGATGGAGTACTTAAGAGAGTTCATTGACATTGCAATAAATAGAACTGGGTTCAAATTTTGGCTCTGCAGCTTACCATCTATATGACTTCGGAGAAGTCAATCAATTTCTCTTAAGTTCATCTGTCAAATGAGGATAATAGTTTCCACCTCTATAGTATCCACCTCTTAGGGTTGGTCTTAGGATTAAAATAGAGAATGTATATAAAATGCTTGTCAGTTCTTGGCTTATTAAAAGTGTTCAATAAATTGTGGCAGTTATTATTTGAACATAATGTACCAAGTTGATTGTCACAGTTTATTGTTTCCCAGTTGTTTTCTTCCAGTCTGTGGCTTCTCTTCATTTGTTATCTTAGTTAATATCTTTCAAAGAGCAGAAGTTCTTAATTTTGAGGAAGTCCATTTATCTGTTGTCATGTCTGAGAAATCTCTGACTAATCCAAGGTTATATAGATTTTTTTTTCATGTTTTTTTTCCTAGAAGTTTTATATATCGATTGATTTTAGAGTGTTAAACTAAACTTGCATTGTTAGGAAAAGTCCTACTTAGTCCTTTTTTTTTTTTTTGTGGGCAGCAAAGCAAAATTTATTGAGTGATAGTAAAGTGATAGTACAAAGCTCCCGAAGAGGGAGGGGACCTGAGCGGGTTGACCAGTCCTACTTAGTCTTGACATTATTTTCATACGTTATTGTATTCCTTTGCTAAAATTTTTCTTAAGAATTGAGCAATTTAGGGGTACCTGGCTGGCTCAGTTAAAGGAGCGTGCAACTCTTGATCTTGGGGTGGTGAGTTCGAGCCCCACGTTTGGTGTAAAGATTACTTAAATAAATAAAACCTAAGAAAGAATTTAACAGTTTAAGGGGTGCCTGGCTGGATTAGTCGGTAGAGCATGTGACTCTTGATCTTGGGGTGGTGAGTTTGAGCCCCACATTGGGGGTGGAGATTACATTTAAAAAAGTCTTTAGAGGCTGGAACCAACTTGCTCAAAGACATCCTATCAAAAGTAATAAAAAAAAGTCAAAGCAAATACCTAAAAGAAAAAAGGAATTTAGCAATTTAAAATCTTGGCTTATGAAGGATATTGTTTTGAAGTCTACTTTTCCTGTAATTCTTTTGTTTTTTAGTTTTGGTATTTGAGTAATTCTGGCTTCATAATGAGTTCAGGAGTATTCTTTCTCTTGAATTTTCTGGAAGAGTTTGTGTAGAATTGGCATTTCTTAATTTTTAAACATGGAAGTTTTAAGTTATATTTTTATTATTGATTTCTGCCTTAATTGCATAATTTCTAGCTTAATTACTAATTTGTTTTTGCTTGCTTGTTTTGATTACTAAGAAAGGTGTGTTAATATCTCCCAAGTGTCGTGGAGTTGTCTATTTCTACTCTCTGTTATTTTTTTCTTTGTATATTTTGAGGCTATATTATAGGTGCCTCTATGTTATGGAATTGTCATGTCTTGTGAGTTGGATGTTTTATCATTATGAAATACTCCTTTTTAAAAAAAATATT